GCGAGTTCATTTTTAAACAAAAATCAATCGATCAATTTACGCATGCACTAATAATATATATAAATATATATATATATACAATATTAAACACTATTCCGAACAATAATAATCATACAAAATGGAAACTTTTCAGCATTTCACATTCAGATGAAAGAGAAATGAAAAATATCCAGTTACCAGGGCAAAGAAAAACTGATAACCGCTTCTTTCTGGACGCCTGAAACCTGATTTATGCGTCAAGAAAGAAGCGGTTATCAGTCTTTCTTTGCCCTGACTGGTAACTGGATATTTTTTTTCATTCGAATGAGAGATGCCGAAAAGTTTTCATTGTGTATGAAAGATGGTACCACTTTATTCTGCAAAAACTGTAGTTCTTGCTTTGTTCAAATTCATTTAGGGGAATAAATGTATGAAATAGATGACTGTAAGCTTACAAAATCTCGAAAATCTACAAGTGAAGAGCAACAGGTTGGTGTAGAAGAGACAGGCAACAAAGACAGGACTTCAAATGGATAAAGAGAGAGAGGACAGGATTGACAAAGATACTTAACGAAAACACTCCAAGCAGCAATCAACATTAACGAAATAAATCTAAGAGGAGTCACTTTTTTCACTTATCTATACAGCAACATTTCAACTACAGGTGACAACACGGTTGAGGATGTCAAAGTCAACCAAGGTCGAGAAAAGGCTAGACAGAGCTTCAGCAGTCAGAAACCAAATATCGAAATCTATTGCATCCAGGGTAAAGGAGACGATTTGAATTTTCAGCACTGATGTTAAGTCAGTCAATGCTTCTATGTATATTTTTTTCTGATGCTCGCTAGTGACTTGCTACAGGACGGACGAAGTTTCCTGGAGTTCTAGTGAGAAGTCGTGACCAGTGAGGTCCAACCAGTCAAGAGTGAGGATGGGTTTTCCACAGACGACATTGGTTGGTGGTCGCGCTAAATCACGAATTGGTAGAAATTAGAATTCATGGGCTGGCCATTGAATCGGGTCCCAGTGGCTGAATGGTATGCGAGCCAGCTTGCCTTGTAACCGGAAGGTCCTGGGTTCGAACCCCACAGTGTGGGTGCGTACTGCCGATGATTCCCAAACCAAGGGGATGAAACAGTTGGCTGTCCAGTACTCCCTGTGGCTGGTTTTCAATGGTTCTCTAACTGATATCAATCCGTGGTCAAACTCGTAAAAACAAATCTAATCCTTCCTTACAAACCAACTCTTGAAAAATGCTTCTATATAGTTCAGAGACTTGGAGCATCACAGAAAGCATTTCAAAACATGCTGAAGACTTTCATCAACCGCTGTGTCTTCGCACCATAAGATCAGATGGTTGGAAAGGGATTAACAACAAGGGATTCTCTGACGATAAGACAACCAAAGAACCAACAAATTTGCCGAAGGAAATAGATAGGAGAGAGATTGGACACATACCCTCGAGTGGAATCCACCAAATGGGAAACGACAACCTGAAGGGGTTAGGGAGTGATATGGGGGAGGGTGATCGTGGAGCCAACTAAGATGGACCACAGAGAACAGGATGAAGTGAAGATGTGTTGTTGAAGCCCATGTTCCACTGGGGACCTAAAGCATTAATGCTAATAATGATAATGATTTTCCTGATTGCAGTAGATTGGATAATGCGACAAACAGCGGGCAATGAGGAAACAGGCATAAAATGGACTCATACAATAAACAACATTGAGGATCTGAACTTGACCGATGATATACGTCTGATTTCCCACAAACTGGAAGATATGCAAGTGATGAAAAGCAACAAGTTGGCAGAAGAAGCATCCAGAGAAGATAGGACTTCAGGTGAACATAGAGAAAACAGAGGTGATGAAGATTCCTGGGCTACACCACCAACAACAGACAACGATCAGCATAAATGGGAGGAACCTGAAAGAAACAACCTCCACTACCTACCTACCTGGGAAGCATCGTTTCAACTACAGGTGGACTGAACTGACGAGGATATCAAAGCAAGAATCGGAAAAGCAAGACAAGCTTTCACTTCTCTCAAGTCTGTATGGAGGTCAACAGCACTCAGCATCAAAAATAAGATCCGGATTTTCAACTCCAATGTGAAGTCTGTCAGTGCTAGTATACGGATCAGAGACTTGTACTGCGCGTCATAAAGAGCATCTCAAACAAACTACAGACCTTCATTAACAGTTGTCTTCGCTCAATACTCAAGATAAGATGGCCGGTCAGAAAAGATCAGCAACAGAGATCTCTGGGAGCGAACCAACCTTGCAGGAACCGATTGTGAAACAAATAGGCAGGAAGAAATGGAGATGGATTGGCTGGCCATACTCTGAGGAAACAAGCCATCAAGTGAGTGACATCACTAGACAAGCCATTGCTCGAGTGGAACCCGGCCGAAAGGGAAGCGGCGAGTTGGTCGTCAGCGTGAGGGTGACTTGGAGGAGGTCATGTGAAGAGGAGATGAAAGCATGTGGGCAGACATGGAGCCAGGTGAAGACTCTAGCAGAGAACCGAACGCAATGGAGACGCATGGTTGAAGCCCTATGTTCCTCTAGGAATTAAAGGAAACAATAATAAAGTTTGTGAAAGTTACCACTTAAATATGAACGTATTTAATCAGAAATTAAGAAGGCAGATAACACGTGATGAACGTTCATCCAATTGTTCTCCTAGTTTAACTCCAATTTGATTAGATAATCAGATCGATGACAGGATCAGTATCAATAGAATTGGATACAGTACAATCGTAAGGAAATCGACGAGAACAACCACCAATCACAGTGCAGGTGGTCATCACCACGTATGGAGAATTCCCCCCCTCCCCCACCCACGCAAATCTCACTTCATATTTATAGAAAGTACTGAAGATGTTGTTCAGGAAGACAATGGAAACTTCTCAATTGAGACAACCAGCGCTAAGGAACACAACAATATCTATCACAGCTACAAATCTTCTCTTCACTATTATACGAAAAGAGTCATCGAGTCAGTAATCCAAGGGAGGCTGATTTCAATCCTTCAGCGACTGAGGCTCTTACATTTCATCTTCAGTTCTCGTCCACTACACACACACACACACATCAATGGTGGGCCATCCATTCAAGACTACGTCAGATAGCCTTACCATTAATATCAAATAAGTTAGAGTGTTAGATTATCGTCAACTAGTCTATACCAATTAAATATAGTTTGAACAAGTCGGTTAGACATACACCAAACGAAAAGAGAAAATAAACTAAAATTTTTGGTGTTTATATTTACCAATCATCAACAATTAATATGGTTAGCAGAGATTTCACTATAGTTTCAAGTTCGAACATAGACTGACGCCAGTTAGAGAAGTGTTGGAAACCTGGGAGTACTGGATGGCTGTTTCGACCCGATTTCGGACTCTTCAGCATTGCGAACCCATGGCCCCGAGCAGGACCTTCACGTTACGAGGGCCAGTCCGTTGACCATTCAGACACTGGAACGGAATCCAACCACCCGGGAATTCCAACTTCCATCACCACCTTCCGCCATCACCAGCCGGTGTCTTCACACACCCGAATTGGTGGACCCAACTGGCGATGTGGTGCTATAAATCATGAATTGATAGAAGTTGGAATTCATGGACCACTGGGTTCCACCATTCGAGTGACTGGATGGACATTGGGCTCAGCTCATAACCTGAAAATCATGGGTTCGACACCTTTTGAATGGGATCATAGATAAGTACTGTTGAAGAGTTCCGAACTAGGGTGGAAACAGCTGTCCAGTATTTCCTGCTGGTTTTCAACGGTTCTCTAAATGATGTCAACCTGTGATCTAAATTGAATTCACTATTCATCGAAATGACGGCAAGACTGTAAGTCAAAGAATTGACTAGGCTTTTTGATTGCACGGATGATTTCATCATGGGTTAACATCAGTTAGAGATCCACTGGAAAACCTGGGAGTACTGGATAGCCAGCTGTTTCGTCCTAGTTTGGGACTCTCCATCAGTACGCACCCGCGCTGCGGGGTTCGAACCCAGGTCCTTCTGGTTACAAGGTTAGCGAGCTCGTAAACCATTAGCCCACTGGGACCCGCCCCAATGGCCAACCCATGTATTCCAACTTCTACCAATTCATGACATAGCGCTACCACTTCGCAATGTCTTCTTCGATGAGTTACTGTCTCCTCTTCAACCTGCTGTACCCTACTGGTCACAGCTTCCCGCTAGAACCCCAGGTCACTGCCTGAACAGGGCGAGTCACTAGTGAGCATCAGATTAATTTTCAAGTATCGGTTTCGTAGGGGCTACTTTACAAATAGCAATAATCGGATCGGGTCCCAGTAGCTCAATAGTCTACGAGCTCGCTAGCTTTGTAACCAGAAGGACCTAGGTTCCAACCCCGCACAGTGTGGGTGCGTACTGATGAAGAGTCCCAAACTAGGACGAAGCAGCTGGCTGTCCAGTACTCCCAGGTTTTCCAGTGGTTCTCTAACTGATGTCAACCCATGATGAAATCCTCCATCCAATCAAACAAAATCCCTACAAAACCAATACTTGAAAATTAAACTTTTTGAACTGCGGCCAGTTTCATAGAGCTCAGTTACCACCTAGAACGAACCTATCGTGCATTAGGGGCTATGTACCACACAATTCTTGTGTGAGGACTTGTGATACAATTTCGTTGCCTAGGTAATAATATAATAATACTAATACTGCTACTACTATGACAATTTGCGCCAACGACGCCGCAATTGGTCCGGGGTTCGATTCCCGACCAGCAACGCACTCCTAGACCTCACCTAGTCGATGATAAGTAAAGCCCGGTGTAAAGAAGGCAGGTTGGGAGTGAGGCCAGCAACTCCACGCTGTAAAAAAACAACAACATAACGACACACACTACTGTTAAATGATGAGTCGGTAAAGCTCAAAGCTTGAGCTCCTCGATGTTCCACCCTCTCTCGGAAGGCAAAGGAATAAAAATAACGTAACACTATTAAAACAGTAATAAAAATAAATGTATATAACATACGTGGTTCAACAGAATTCAAATCATTAACAATTGGGCGGATAATACTGATACCAGGACTAGCGGATGAAGCTCTAAAATTACCATGATTACAATTCGATGCTGCTGTTGCTGCTGATGATAGTGTAGCCATTGTTCTTTGTGGGGGTGGTGGTTGTGGCTGGGATTGACCATTCACTGGACAATGATCTGTAGGACGTGAATGTGACTGAGCGGAAATAATTTTTAACGAGCCTTGATTACTTCCCTGTCGTGTCATGGATAAAACCTGTTTAAAAGGAAGCGAAATAAGAATATCAGTGAGATAAGTTCAACCTCTGACATAGAGGTGATATCCACCAGTTTGCAGTTTGCTCTGTCCTTCTCGAAATGGCTGTGAGATATGGTCATTGAAAGTGGAAGATGTGAAGGGGCTAGATATCATCTATGACCACACAGATGTCTGCATTCTACTTCCCGTGTTAAGTGGGGTATACTATGGCAAGTGATATTGTTGGTTAGGTGTAGAGTACTAGTACTAGGTAAGGAGGGGAAATCAATTGACCAGGTTGTGAAGTTATATCGATTGAGATGGTTAGGACATGCGCTGCGCACGCCAACGGCAATGTCAGCAGACATCGTCGAAGCATCTGCACAAGAAGCCGACAGACATGTCAACCTGAGACCAAGGACCTCGGTCCAATCAATCGACGGGAAAATCTAAAATTCAATTAAATAATTAATATGGCCCGTTGCATAAGAGGTGCCTCTCGTGGCCCAAGTGGTCTAGTGGATAATGCGCTTTGGCATTTGAAATTATAGGCACTGGGTTCGAGCCTCCGAGGTGGGAACATCATCACCACTCACTGCGGAATGCAGGTACATCCGGCTGGCGAACGGGTCCCAAATAGGACGAAATGCGCGTTATCCTGGATTTTGTCATTGTTAGTCACCATCCACTAATTAAACATTATAATGTTGTTAATAACACTAATTCACTCACTATTATTGATGGGTATGTATATAACTGTAGAACCTGATAAAGAGGAGCAGGTTATCGACAGTGTGAATATTCTTTGTTCAGTAACCACATTCTTTTGCAAAAAAAAACAAACATTTTAATGGGCATTTTTAATCAGTTAAATACAAATTTGTTTTTATTTTTATTTTACCTGTTGATAAGATGGTGGAGAAGGTCTTTGTTGTTGTTGGTGATGGTGTTGGATTCGTTGTTGTGGTGAGGATAATTTGTTCTGTTCAACAGGATTCATTGATTTTGCTTGTTGATTCGTTGACTCTTGATGCGATGCTGATGTCGAGGTTGATAATTGCTGTTGTTGTTGTTGTTGTTGTGTGGTCTCACTTCTGCTGCTACTACTATTATTATTATTAGATTGATGTTTTGTAGGAAATAATTGTCTTTCTACCTTGGGATTTTGTATCTGTGCATGCGTTTGCATCATTGCAGGAGTACGACCAACTTGAGACAGAAGAACAGACAAACAGACAACAAAACATTCAGAAATTTCCAAGTAATAATTTGGTTAATAGCGTATTGACTTCAGTTAGAGAACCATTGAAAATCCATCTGTTTCGTCCTCCAAGTTTGGGACTCTTCAGTATGCACCCCCAACCTACGGGGGGAGGTTCGAAGCCTGGCCAGGACCTTCCAGTTATAAGGCAAGCGCCCGTAGATCACTCATCCACTGGAACCTGACCCCACGAATTCCAGATTCTACCAGACAATGTCATAGGGGAGTATTTGTCCTCATAACCGATCTGGTCCCAACATCTCACTTCGTTCTGTAGTCAGTCAGTCACTAGCGAGCGTCAGGGAATCATCGACAGTACGCACCCACACTGCGGGGTTCGAACCCAGGACTTTCCGGTTACAAGGCAAGCTAGTATACCCCTCAGCCATTGGGTTCGAACCCTGATGGGTATGTACTGATGAAGAGTTCCAAACTAGGTTGACGAAACAGCTGTCCAGTACTCCAAGCTGGTTTTCAAATGGTTCTCTAACTGATGTCAGCTCATGATGAAATCCTCCAATCAATCAAACTAAATCCCTACAAAAACCAATACTTGAAGATTAATTTTAAACAGTTAGTGTGTAGGAATTTAATTTGTTTCAAATTTGAGCACAGATTGATATCAGTTAGAGAGTCATTGAAAACTAGCTGGAAGTAATGGATAGCTGTTTCGTCCGCCTCCTTTGGGACTCTTCATCAGTATGCACCATAATCCCACTGATCAGGGATCGACACTCAGAACCATTAGGTAGGTTACGAGGCAAGCTTGTTGATCATCCAGTACCATTGGTACGGAATCCAATGACCAGGCCATGAATTCTAACGAATTAATACTGGTAATTCTGTTAAAATGATAAAAGTTGTAACTGGTAAAAGAAGACAACTTAATGAAGTAAATTACACAATGACCCCACATAAGCGACCAATTACCGGGAAAATGTTAAACTATCATGGTATACGAGCTGCTTGCCTTGTAACCGGAAGGTCCTGGGTTCGAACCCCGCACAGTGTGGGTGCGTACTGCCGATGATTCTCAAACTAGGCTGATGAAACAGCTGTCCAGTACTCCCTGGTGGGTTTTCAATGCTTCTCTAATTGATATCAATCCGTTGTCAAACTCGTAAAAAATAAACTATCATAGCCAAAACCATAGTGACCTTGAACACAACCAATTAGAATTCAGATGCAAAAAAGTGGCATTATTATTATTATTATTGTTTTCTTTAATTCCTAGAGGAACATAGGGCTTCATCCTCACGTCTCTATTGCGTTCGGTTATCTGCCAACGTTTTCACTTGGTTACAAGTCTGCCCACACGCTTTCATCTCCTCTTCACATGATATCCTCCAAGTCACCCTTGCACTGACGACCAACTCGCCGCTTCCCTTTCGGCCGGGTTCCACTCGAGCAATGGCTTGTCTAGTGATGTCACTCACTTGATGGCTTGTTTCCTCAGAGTATGGCCAGCCAATCCATCTCCATTTCTTCCTGCCTATTTGTTTCAAAACCGGTTGGTTCCTGCTGTGTTGGTTCGCTCCCAGACTCGCGAGTAATGAAAGCTTGTCTTGCTTTCCCAATCCTTGCTTTGATATCCTAATCAGTTCCGTTCGCCTGTAGCTGAAACGATGCTTCCCAGGTAGGTAGGTAAAGGAGGTTGTTTCTTTCAGATTCCTCCCATTTACGCTGATTGTTGTCTGTTGTTGTTGCTTCTACTGCTGTTGGTAAGGAATCTTCATCACCTCTGTTTTCTCTATGTTCACCTGAAGTCCTATCTTCTCCAGATGCTTCTTCTGCCAACTTGTTGCTTTTCGCTTGCATGTCTTCCAGTTTGTGGGAAATCAGACATATATCACATCGGCGAAGTCCAGATCCATTTTATGCCTGTTTCCTCGCTGCCCGCTGTCTGTCGCATTATCCAATCTACTACAATCAAGAAAATCATTGGCATAATTGTTGAAAAATACACCAAAAAATATTTCAAACATGGTATTACACATTGTATAGTTGTTGCTTATGTGTTATAAGAATCTCTCCCAGTAACTGTACACACAGACGACCTATAGAGAGATCGTACCATGAGCGATATATCCATTCATCCAGGTGACTGTAGGTCATAGTAGTTTGACATCCATTGGTATTCCTGATACCATTCTTCAACCTACTCCTAACTTTAATCCCAACCTTAACCCTAGACCCTAAACCTTAATCTTTACTTGCTCGTGCGGAGCTGAGTACATCGGCCGTGCCATGCGCCAACTTGAAAAAAACGCGCTCGTCAACACTATCCAGCCTGACTAGTAAAAGGAGAACGAAAACGTGTGTACATAGTTCAGTGACAGAACATCTGGTCAATTCAAAACATTCACCGCCATTCGAAAAATCCTTCAAAATAATATACAAGATTCAATCAAACCTATCAAAAGGAGTAAAGTCAAGACATCTGGGTGTAACCAAGGCACTAGCCATCCAAAAGCTCAAGTCCACGCTATGTATCCAAAAGAAATACGTCCAACTCTTGTCCCTGCCATAGTCATCACAAGCAGGTAATTCTCCTAATAGTGACTATCCCATTGCCTCTCTTATCCAAACTTCCTGTTTATTCGTGTTATTTTTAAGTTTTCCTTAATCCCTATTTACACTACCATATTTTCATATCCGAACTTCCTGTCTATTTTGTCATTTTATTATTTCTACATTTCCAACCCCTGATTGCACAATATGTCAATCTTCTCAGTAATTATGATGCTACTTTGTTTGAGAGTTTTATCCTTCCCCCTCCCCTGTTTATTATGGCATTTTAATTCCTAATTGTAATTTTATTAATTTGACCCTTGACCGGAAATTATTCTGGAGCTTTCCCACCAATTTATTATAAATTATCACGAATGTACAGCTGTCTTAGTTGAAGGTTCCTCAGTGGAACATAGGGCTTCAAGCTAGTGGCTTGAAGTTTCTGTAGCAGTGTTCATTTTACAGGATGGGGTTGCTAGCCTCATGCCCAACCTTTCCTCTTCACCAGTATTATTTCTGGGTTAGCGAGGTAAAGGAGTGCGTCAGTGGCCGGGGATCGAACCCCGGATCATGTGCATGGTCGGCGGGCGTCCTAACTGCTATGCCACCGACGCACCTCGCTGCACAGGCGCCCTTTTATTATTATTCCCTATAATCAAATCTTAAAAGCCATAACCCATGGAGAACAGTATAGATTTACAGAAAAAAGTACGCAGTAAAGTAAAGTAGAATACTGTGTCTACCCTCTCCAAGTCGAAAAAGGCAGGCAGTCATGATTTTATCTGGAATGACATTTCATAGCATTCATTCCCTGTATCTGATCGGTCCATGAAGGTCAACTTTTGAAAGACCTTGACTTTGGCTATGCATACTTTAACTTTGCTGGCCAATTACCAATAAAGGAAGAAAATCACATAAATACATTAGGCAAACTGGATGGACTTACCTGATGGTTGTTTGTTATTACTGCTTGTATTAGGAGGGTTAGGTGACAAATTATTATTATTATTATGACGTGTAGTTGTCATAATTACATCGTGTTTTAACGAGGAGGATAATGCCGGTTGAGTTTGTTGTGGTGGTGTAGAAGTGGTGTCACTTGGAGGTTGTCTTAGAGCTAAGGCCAACTCATACGGTGGTGGCGGACGAGTTGGTTTGGCGTTTAAATCTATGCAGAAAGAGGAAGAAGAGAACAGAAGGATTTATAAAGATACATGATAAAACAATAATATGTGCAACGAGAAGGCAGCGGTCTGTTTAAAGCTTAGGCTGCTGGCCCCGAAAACCTCCATCAATATACTTTGATTGGACAATTAGCTAGTAAAGTTGTAACAACAGAAGACAAGGGCCAGGCAACAGATCGTTTATTAAGGAAAATCAACACATATTTATAGATTTTAATGTACATTATTGTAGAGTTTTGTTAGAGAAAAACACAGTCTTCCGATTGGTTGTTTCTCACAGAAAGTTAACCTTGCATCTCTTTGTGGCTGTGTCAGATCACCCATGTGCTAACTGTATCCGCCTACGCAAAATCTGCTTTGGTTGGTTGTTGAATCAGTCTTTGTTCATATTTTTCTCACGACCAATATTGGGGACATAAACATTGACGTATCACCAATGATATTCCTAATTGTGGTGGATTGGATTATGCGTCAGACAGTGGGAAGCGAGAAGACAGGGATATCCTGAACCACCGACGTGAAGAACCTAGAAGACCTGGATTTCGCGCGTGGATGATTTATGTTTGATGTCACACAAAATCGAAGACTCCAGGTGAACATAGACAAGACGGAGGTTATGAAAATAACCAACCAACCAACAACAACAGCAGCAACATCCAGCGCCAATCACCATCAACGGGAGGGATTTGAAAGAGGTTACTTCTTTCACTTGTCTAGGGAGCATTGTCTCAACTACAGGAGGAACGGACGAAGATGTCAAATCGAGAATCGGGAAGGCGAGAAACACATTCACCAACCTGAAACCAATCTAGAAATCTTCGTCACTCAGCATCAACTATAGCTTTACTGTCTCCATGCATAATCATATCATAGCTTCCACTACCCAATAGTGAGTTATTATTATATGATGTTTCTTTTCCTTTCTACTTCTTGGTATTTTTTAGTATTTAAAAAAATCATTTTATGTTTTTCCTGTTTTTTTGCTGTTGGTGTCTTCATATTTACTTTTTTTTGAAATACTCCTTTTAAATGTCTGATAAAATTAGATGCAAATATTGTAGATATGTGCTGAAAATTCCACACTGTACCACAAGTACTGTTTCTGGAATAAAGCAAATTATTATTATTATTATCAACAACAAAATTCGGATTTTCAATACAAACGTTCTTCTATATGGGTAAGATAATTGGCGGGTCACAAAGAATATTTCCAACAGGTTGCAGACCTTTATCAACAGCTGTCTTCGTTCTATACTCAAGATCAGATGACCGGAAAGAATTACCAACAAGAAGCTATGGTAACAAACAAAACAAGAACAAATCCTTTAACAAATATGCAGGAGAAAGTGGAGATGGATTGGACACTCGCTGAGGAGGCTGTTGGGTGACATCGCGCGTCAGGCGATTGCTCGAGTGGAACCCGAAAGGGAAGCGGCGAGTGGGACGTCCAAGGGTGACATGGAGGAGATCGTATGAAAAGGAGATGAAACAGTATGGACTAACTTAGATGCAAGTGAAAAGTACAGCAGAAGACAGAAGCAAGTGGAGACGTGTAGTTGAAGCCCTATGTTCCACTAGGAACCCAAGGGAACAATAATATAATCATAATAAACATTGACGTAAAATACTGTCTACCACTTTTGGCTAGCAGCCACCTCTCACCACAAAGTTATATATGTGTCTAATTCTTTGTTTGCTGCAGACTGAGTGAATTCTCATATCTCAGTCAAAGTTTGCAATGTGGCCAGTATACCACCCCCACACTAGGTGGACTGGGTCATCATCACTGCAGGAAGCACCGCCTGACCTAGGCTTTGTGCTAGTTGGTACTCACTCACCAGTTAGCAGCAAAGGTATATATCTGCAACCTTGAAGGAACTCATGTCCCACGTCTGAGATTAGCAACTGTGTCACCCAGTGTTGCAGTTCGAGAGACATAAGTGTTCTAAACTGGTCACTAATTCAGTTCCAAGAAAAACCGTCTTTTTCATGAAATCAGAATTCAAAGCTGATCAGGCTTCATGGAGGCTCAAAAATCGTCATGTAGGACGTTTGTTGCGGGGAAACTTCAAGTGAACTTCAGTTGAAGAGTTCTACCGAAATCCGGTGAGGACACTTTTCATGAAATCATAAAAGAGGCTAAATTGGAAGAACATAATAATAATAATAATTTTTGCTTTATTCCAAAAACAATACTAATGATACAGCAAGGAATTTTCAGTATTCAGTACAATATTGCATTTAATTTACTCAAAACGACAAAAAAAATTACATAATAATAATAGCAGCTATTTAGGTATGCAATACGGAGAAAAATATGCATAAATTATAAAATTATAGAAATAATAGTAATAACAACTAAAATAAAATAGCTAAGTTATAATTAAACGATAGAAAGGGTGACATCATAAAATTACAGAAAGATGAACAATGAAAGGGTCGATTCACTTTGTTAATTACATAGTAACTTATATGTTTCACGTCTAACAGCGTCTTCATCACATAAAATACGGGCTAAATACGGTATTGTAGAATTTTTGTACTTAGTGGTTCCAGCATATAACTTCTTATATTGACTTCTCGTTCTACCTGATGAGATGCAAGGGGATAGTTGTGAATAAAGGGGATGCAGAGTGTCTGACAGAGCTGCCTTTGCCTATTTTGTACAGGAATTTATGTGTCTCTCGACTATAGTATTGGCGAGCTCACGCAGTGGCAAACCACAAGCCCTACTCACAGCATTTAATACCCTTCATAATATGATATAGTCATTTTGATGAGCCCAGGAAAGATTAATGGAGAGCAATAGAGTACAATAGGTAAAATACAGTTCACAAACTGCAGAAGTAAAGGTTGGTTGATACTTGATTGTCTCAACTTTTTAATGTAGAAAGTTGTAGACGAAACATTTTCTTAGAGATTGATAAGTTGTGGGATGACCATGAAAGGTCAGAGGAAAGAACTAATCCAAGGTATTTATTGCTTGACTTGGTTTCAATTTCAATGCCATCTATGCTACAGGCATCATGGTAACTAACTAGTTCATGTATGTCACGTCGATGCTTGAAAGTAAAGTTAACTGCCTGACATTTGAAGGGATTTAACATAAGACCATTTGACTTAGACCACTTGCTGATGTCCAACAGAAAGCTATTAAGTTTGGAGCAGTCAGACTCGGAAGTGATAGGCAGTGATACAGTCAGATCATCCGCATATTTGACAAAGTTAGTTTCGTTTAAATGTGGCAGGTCGTGTAGGAAGAAAGAAAAAAGAAAAGGAGAGAGGACGGCACCTTGAGGAACACCGGTTTTTGTAAGCAAAGCAGAAGAAGATTTGCCATTATATACAGTATACTGCATTCTATCAGAAAAATAAGAATGCAACCAACTCTTAGCCCAGGATGCTGTGTGCGTCAAGGAGAGCTTATTTAATAAAAGGCCCCTAGGTACAGAGTCAAACGCAGATGTGTAGTCTAGGAAAGCACCACGAACATATTTGGCACCTTTGTCTAAACAAGAAACAACATTATGATATAAGACAACCACAGCATCTAAGGTACACTAAATAAAAGCATTTCCAACAGGCTATCGTAGGACTTTTATCAACAACCACCTTTGCTCGAAACTGGAAATCAGACTGACTAGCTGGCTTCAACTTGGAACTTTGCACAGATGTGCAGCAGTTAGAATTCCCACTCTCCCTCCATGTACCACACAAAGAAAGAGAAGATAGTAAAGAGAGAGGCTCAAAAGAGATAATAAACAGAAATATGAGGCGAAAAGAGTAGTACTATCGACGAATAATAGAATTTTATTGGATGTGGTAAGCCACAAAGAGTAGTGAATGCATCTGCACCAGCCATCAATGAAAACGATTTCAAACCATATCGCCGATTGTCTCTAGCCATTGGTTCCTACCATTCAGAAGACCCCAACTAGACAGCAGCTGTCTACGCCTCCCTACGTGGCGGCTGGCTTAAACTAACTATTATGAATTTCATTGACTGATGAAGCCATACTTTAGTTTAACCACCACTAGCTAACTCTTTTCCAACCTGATCCATCCTATGTCAGTCAGCTAACATTTCCCGTCTGTCGAGGAAGGCGATGGCTAAGCAGGCATGTGTAACATATGTCCTAATCATCTCAATCGGTGTAACTTCACAACCTCGTCGATTGATTTCCCCTCCCACCTACCTACCTAGCACTCAACCCATGCCTAACCTCAGTATTGGTCACCTTATTATACCACTTAACACGGGAGATAGAACGCAGGCATCTATGATCAAAGACAACAGCTGGCCAGTCTTTTCATGTCTTCCACTTTCAATGGCAGTGTCTCACTCACAGAGATAAAGGAGGACAGAGAGAACTGCTGAGCAGTGTACACGTTCTTTGATCGATAGTCAGCAGGATATCAGATCTACTAAGCCAGAGATGGCGTAACTTGGCATATGCCAAACGAGCTGGAAATCAGACAGCATGAAAAGATTACCAATGCGGAACTGTGGGAACGAACCATTCCAAGAGGCTATCGCCCAACAAATACACCGAAGAAAATAAAGATGAATCGGGGAAACTATGAGGCAACTGTTGTGTGACATTACACACGTCACGTAAACCCTCGAGTAGAAACACAACCAGTTGAGCGCCCAAGGGTGACATGGAGGATATAAAAGCTGATGGGCAGTCGTGGTGCAGCCAGCTAAAAAGATCTTCAGAGAACAGCATGTGAAATGGAGATGTAGAAAATCAAAACAAGTGGTGATTCAGTGAAGAGACTCTTTTCAACGAATTTATCATCAAGCTGTACAATTGTATATATATGGTTTTTAAGAAGTTATATCCGGTGAGGGAATTAAATATATGTGTAAAACTTGGGCACTGTGGTAGTAAGTAATTCCATATTAGTTTGTTTATTAGGTATATCACACAGTGAAACAGTATTATTTACTGGATAATAATACTGTTTCACTGTGTGATATACCTAATAAACAAACTAATATGGAGGGAATTAAATCATAGGTGTGAATGCATAAAATAATAATAATAATATGAAATGCAATTAAAACTAAAATGTTTGTGATTATAATCGTAGTTAAATGTCAAGTGGCAAAGCAAATTAATGTCATATATAGAATAATTCATAGGATGGATAGAACTTGAAAAAGGTGTGCAATTATAAGATTAGTAGACAAATCGAATAAAATAAGAACGTTACGTAATATTGTGTGAAATTTGATAACATAAAATTTAACGTTGTAAAAAAGAAGAATTGATTTAGAATGACAAGTGGAACAAGTGAAATAATACCGGGAACAATTAAAAGTGAGAGTAGTAATAGTAACAATTGACGTAATAAGGAAGAGTATACAAATTGAATAGACAAAAATGAAAAAATGAAAAATTGGTAGAGCTAAAATATGATTGGGGATTACCATACTTTAACATAGAGGGATTAAGACCATGAAAGTTGGAGGGGTTGAATGAACTTTTTCTGTACACAGAGATCTGGCTTTTCTGTTTCGATAGCCAAAGATGGCTTCAGCAATACAGATGAGTCGGGTACGTAGTGATTTGGGTAAATTACTTTTTGCCTTGTAGATGACTTTAAAGTTGGAGGCTATAGAGATAGGATGATCATTATCGACCAGATGTTCAATGATCGCGCTTCTTATTGCTCCACTTCCACCTTTTCGTAACCATGCAGGATAGTGTTCTTGCACCCTCTTGGACAAAACTCGAGTCGAACGACCGATGTACCTACCTCCACACGAGCAGGTGAATTGATAAACACACATATATTTAATTCCCTCACCGGATATAACTTCTTAAAAACCATATATATATACGACTGTACAGCTTGATGATAAATTCGTTGGAAAGAGTCTCTTCGCTGAATCATTTGTTTTGATTTTCTATATGTTACAATGGGAATTTTCCATGATTTAAAAAATGGAGATATGTCACTGACGCCCTGAATCCCATTCGGAACCCAAGAAAATAATAACAATAATAATAATATTAATAAATAAAACTTACAATGTGGATTAATTCTTTGTACAGTAGACTGTCTGAAATGATACGGGATAGACATTATATGACCACCACCACCACCACTACCACCAAGAGGATGTGTATTTGCAGTTGGATAGAGGTAATTTTCATCAGAATTGAGTGAATTTTGTTGTTGTTGTGTTTGTCTCTGGTGCTGTTGGTGGTGTTGTTGTTGTGGTTGTAGTGATGACTGTTCCCTTGATCTAGTTGTTGATAACATACCAACTTGTTGCTGTTGTTGTTGTTGGTGATGTTGAGTCGTCGTATAGGGACCACCAGATGAATTATTGGCATGCCAATAGGCACAGGAAGACATTTGTTGATGTTGTTGTTGCTGCTGTTGTTGTTGTGTACATGATGATGATGAATTCGGATTTGGCGTTGGACGAGGTCCAATATAATTTGATCGAGACTGAAGGTTCTGTTGGGCCTGTTGCTGCTGTTGTTGTTGTTTCTGTTGTTGTTGTTGATGTTGCTGCTGTTGATTTAATAGAAGACAGAATAAGATGTATAACATATACAACACATATATAATTCATGTAAACTAAAGTACTATAAACCATGTCAAGCTGAAGACGATGCTTGTAGAAAACATTCATGAGGGCAGCGCTTTATCACGAGTTGAAAAAGTCAGAATTCAGCCCTACTGCCTACTGAATGGTTAACGAGCTTGGTGGGTCTCGTAATCTAAAGGTCCGTAGGTCTGATCCCATGTACAAGGAGTTATGTGTATGCACTGTACTGAAGAGTCCAAAAATAGGACGAAACAGCTAGCTGTTTAGCTATCTAGTGCTCCCTGTTTCCCAGTGATCTATCTAGCTGATGTTAGTTCGTGATGTAAATCTAACAATTTCAATTTCATTCCATTGAGTTCCATGGGGAACTTAGGAGACTTCATGGAAGAATTCTAGTTGACGTCTGACAACTGTTATAGTGTGGTGAGAGCTGGCTGCTAGCCAAAGTTGGTAGACAGTAATTGACGTCAATGTTTATGTGGTGGTGAGAAAATGAGAACAAAGGCTTTGTGTAGGCGGATACAGTTAGCATATGGATGATCTGACACAGCCACAAAGAGATGCAAGGTTAACTTTCTGTGAGAAACAACCAATCAAAAGACTGTATTTTCTACTAACAATAATCTACAATAATGTACATTAAAATCTATAAATATGTGTTGATTTTCCTTAATAAACGATCTGTTGCCTGGCCCTTGTCTTCTGTTGTTAAAATAGTATTTGTTGACTTCAATTCAATATTTCATCACATACCGGCTACGACAATGTTTCACTGTCAAAGAAGTGTTGAAAATGCACATTATGCCTACGACTGACTGACGGACTGGTTTCAACATAGAACTCTGCAAAGAAGTCCAATAGTAGTTCGACTTGCCAGATTCCATGTAACACCAAAAGGAAGACAATAGGGAAAGAGACTCAGAAGGAAAGATAAGCAGAGGGATATGAGGGCGAGGGATATAGCAGATTACAAATAGTGAGTGCAACTGCGCCAACCATTGAGGAGAACGATGAGTTTGAGCCATATCACCAATTGCCTCCATCCATTTAGTTCTTAATATCTTAAGGACTCCAACCAGGCAGTCAACGCTTCCTTACATGGCTTAAACTGACTGTTAAACATTCCATGGACTAATGCCATGTTTTCGTTTGACCACCATTAGCTATTTTCTAACCTGATTCTATGTCAGCTAACAATAGCCGTCGAGGAAGGCGATGGCTAGACATGCGTAACACATGTCAACGTCCAACCACCCTCTTATACAATCTAACATGAGAGCAAGGAACACAGACATCTATGATCAAAGACAACTAGCCAGACTTTTCATGTCTTCCACTTTCAATGGCCACGTCTCATTCACAGCGATAAAAGAGGACAGAGAGAACTGCTACTGTGTAGTGCACATGTTCTTTGTTCGATAACCAGCCGGATATCACATCTACACCAGAGTTAATGCTGGTTGGAAAATCCTATACAAGCCTCATATATCCGTGCTAAAATTCGGTCAAAAATCAATCTATTGGGGGTGATACAACTTTCCACGTAAGTGTGAAAGTGGTCAACGCGCTCTACCACTTCACTTCCTATCTTTAAGCTAGGATTCCATGTAAGCCATCGGTGTAGCACCATCTTACATTTGACAAGAGTCAATGTAAGCTAATCAGTTGGAAATTCAACGGAGGTTGAAGACAACCAGTCACCATTATGAATGTGTTGGTTTCAAGTTGAGTATGCTTCAGTGTATCCACTACCATTCCATCTGCTTTCGCATATTCCCAGTACTTGAATACCATAACTTTTCACGTCGTTTGCAATCTGGGCAGCTTTGCCAGTCTCATACATAGTGCGGACGTTCCATGTCCCCACACATACTTTTTCTTTTGTCGTAAGGAGACTCATCGTACTGAAGTTTCTGTGGCAGCTTTGTTTACACGGTGGGGGGGGTTGCTAGCCTCACGCCTGAGAAGGGGGGGGGTTGTTACGTGGATATATAGTTTACAGAGGAGCGACTTTTTGGGTTGCTTCCCTTAGAATCAGGAAAACAAGGAATAAAGCAATCAGAACAACACCAGTGAAAGGAAAATAAAAAATTCACAACAGGAAGGGCAGCGACAACCACAAAACCCGTAGCAGTAGAATCACTGTGAAATACAGTTAACAAAAATGATATCAAAACCATAGACTCACTGACTTGGGTCAACACTTAGGTATGTAAATCCAACAGTATATACAACTATAGATATTAGTTAGTGTTAAACAGTTACAGTATGCCAAACAGTCAGTTATCGGTATTATCGATCAGCAAGATTATCTCCACAGATTCAGTGTTCCAAGGTAAACTCTGTCTGTTTTCGACATAGAACTTTGCACCGATGTGCGGCAGTTCAAGTCGCCACACTCCCTCCATGTGGCACACAAACCAAGGGAAGAAAGTAGAAGAAATGCATAACAGAGACAGTAAACAGAGGTGTGAGACAAAGGAATAGTAATAACGAAGAACAATATAGTTTCATTGGAAATTATAAGTCACAAGGAGTGGATGCATCTGCGCCATCATTGAGAACGATTTTGAGCCATGTCACCAATTGTTTCCAACCATTGGTTTTTACCGTCGCGAGGACCCCAACCAGTCAGGAAGTCTACACCTTCCTACGTGGCTTAAACTAACTGTTGAAGATTTGATTGACTGGTGAAGCCATGTTTTGGTTTAACCACCACTAGCAAGCTCTTTTCCAGCCTGACCTTATGTCAGCTAACATTGCCCTTTGTCGAGGAAGGCGATGACTAGACATACGTAACACATGTCCTAACCATCATCTCAGTCGATGTAATTTCACAGCCTCGTCGATTGATTTCCCCTCCCACCTACCTAGCACTAATTACAATAAATTCCACAACTTCCTGGCCAGAAACACCAGAGAAATAAGAGTTTTATGTAACTAAGCAAATGTAGCGCTTTTAAATTCAACATGCAACTACACTGACACAAGTTACTTTTTATATAAATATTAACCTTATCGTCAATTGTGAATCTTGAAATTCTCCATTAATTTATATAAAAGAGACGTTATTTCGGCGAAGTTAGTTCTTTTTCCAGCGATATCCTCCTCAAGCTATATGTCTATATGGCAAATTATCTTAACAACAGATGGAACGTTTCCAAAGGTAATAGTTACGTAATACAGAAGGCGGTAGAAGTTAAAGTAAAAATAAATAAGTAAATTGCGTGACATAATGTAATTGATGGGAGAGTCAAGTGAAGATCAGTGTCATAAAGAGTAGAAGTATAATTGTGTGTGCGATGGGGGGGGGGGAGAGGAGATAATATAATTAAGAAACTGAAAAATTTGTATGAACAAAACTAAAATATCCTGTATTAAGTAGTTGCCAAATCACCTCTCGATCGACGCTGTCGAAGACCTTTTCAAAGTCAATGAAACAGGAAAATAAAATGGACCCAGACAAATAACTTGGAAGATATGGACTTCGCTGATGATATATGTCTGATTTCCCACAAACTGGAAGATATGCAATTGAAAAGCACCAAGTTGGCGATAGAAGAAGCATCAAAGATAGGACTTCAGGTGAACATAGAGAAGGTGGAGACGGAGGTGATGAAGATTCCTGGCCAACTTCAACAGCAACAGCAACAACAACAACAGACAACAATCAGCATAAATGGTAGAAAGCTGAAAGAAGCAACCTCCTCTACCTACCCACCTACCTGGGAAGCATCGTTTCAACTACAGGTGGACGGAACTGATGAGGACATCATCAAAGCGAAGATTGGGAAAGCAAATCAGGCTTTGATTACTCTCAAGTCTGTGTGGAGGTCAACAGCACTCCTCAGAATAAAAAATAACATCCGGATTTTCAACTCCAATGTGAAGTCAGTGCTACTATACGGATCAGAGGCTTGCACTGCGCGTCATAAAGAGCACATCGAACGAAATACAGACCTTCATCAACAGTTGTCTTCGCTCAATAATCAAGATCAGATGGCCAGCCAGAAAAGATCAGCAACAGGGATCTCTGGGAGCGAACCAACCAAGCAGGAACCGATTGTGAAACAAATAGGCAAGAAGAAATGGAGATGGATTGGCCATACTCTGAGGAAACCATCAAGTGACATCACAAGACAGGCCCTCGAGTGGAACTCGAACGTGAAGTGGAGAGTTGGTCGTTAGTGTGAGGGTGACATGGAGGAGGTCATGTGAAGAGGAGATGAAAGCATGTGAGCAGACGTGGAGCCAGGTGATGAAAACGTTTGCAGACAACCAAACACAATGGAGACGTTCGTCTGAAGCCCTAGGTTCCTCTAGGAACTAAAGGAAACAATAATAATAATAAGACAAATTAGATCCATTGTAAGTTCAGTAACTGAGCAAACTTCTTCTGTATGCAGAGTTTAGGACTTAACGTGTGAATTGCCATCGCTTCTGTGGTTTGAAGAAGTTTGATTCCTAATCTTTTGGTAATATCTCCCCCCTCCCCCTCCTTAATCTGGCTTACTACAGGCTTAGTGAGGTTTATGAATGCGTCGACCAGGAACTAAACCATAGACCCAAATTTTAATATCGCTGATTTGTCACAGTTAATATAACTACTTAGAACTCAACTATGAGGAACAAATTTCTATTTTACCAGGCTATGGGTCACATACTTCGTGATACTATCCAGTTGTTCAGGTTAAATTAGGTGGAGCGGGGAATTCAAACGCGGAGTAACACTGGCTGGAAGTTGAGTTGAGGTTATTGTAACGCGATAGCAGAAAAAGAAAACGCTGTTTACATCTACACGACAGTAAACAGTATGTATTGGAATCCAGGGTGCGTATTTGCTTATCTTTGAGTAGAAATATGCATGAAATCTCTGGAAGCAGAATCCGCGTCATGAACCGATAGCAGTTAGAGAAGACTAGGGAATACTGAGCAGATTTTTCGTCTTAGTTCGGGACTATTTACAGCAGTGCGTGCCTATGACAACTAGATTCCAAAAACTCACTGTCTGAGCTAGTTGACGGCCTATCCTTGTAACTCGCAGGGGCCATTAGTGCAGTGTAAATAGCTGAGGGATCCCGAACAGGGACGAATAGGCTTTTCAATCCTCCTAGGCGAATCGCACTGGTCTCTGCTGTTTGCAATGTTTGGTATTTGGAGACCTTTGGCAATTTACTAGGTATGTGTGATAGATGCTAGGAGAAAGACTCTTCAATGATGATAACTTTGCAGCCTGTTTGGATCAGATGATCTAAAATCGAACTGTTGATGGCTTTAAATACACTCCATTATGGATAAGATTTTATTTTGATAAATCACACAGTGTTGTTATACAGTAATATTAACTGATGACCACGTTTCCAGCACAAACTATTACTGCTCATAATCATATCAAGTTTCTCACGCAACTTTTTTCTTTCATTTATATACATGAGTGGAACTGATGATTAGACATTTGAATAAAAATCAATATGGGATAATGTACATTCAGAAATAATAATATGAGTGTTATCAATCAAATACAATCAGATGGGAAATAAAATGAGTGTTTTTATAGTCATAATAAGTAACTTGTTAGAATGCTGTGATGTGCTTGAATTGAAATAGAATTTTGAGATTATTTATTATCCTCCTCTGATTTAACTGACTGGTGGTAATAATATCTTCAATATCTCTGGTATTTGCATTGAGTCACTTCTATCCCATGTGTTGTGTTGTGTGTAGACTCGATGAACCAGGCAGGATTCAGTAATCAATCTTTCTCGCTCTCAACCTACATAGATTACTTCTTAGAATCTTAACCCTCTCCCACGCTATTTGTGTGCTTGTGTGTTAATGCATGTAGTGCAATTGCTGAGCTTTTTTCTAAATTACTTATCTTCTCGGGGTCAACCATACTTACCTTAGCTAAATTCTTATGTTCCGACAATCTGACTACCCCCCAACCTGCTAGTTTGACCTATATAGTTGACCTCACAGTCATTGCAGGGTATTTCGTAAATTATATTATTTTGTTTAATTGGGTCCACCGGCTCTTTCAGCCACACACTGATAGGTGTTCACAAGCACAAAAAAATTGTAAGTGCCTAGAGCGACGGCCAATATAACTGGCTCCACAGGAGTAGCAGTTGAACTGATAGATACAATAAGAGATGGCTAGTTTAGCTAGCTAGCTAGCTAGCCACTACGCTTTCTGCAATATTTCAGAATCACAACCGATCGCATGGAAAATATGAGTTGCAGCTATCTGCCTATTGGCATTAAAAGTTCTTTGAATCAATCTTCTCAACTTGTTGATTGTTATTATTTCGCTTGGTGCATTACCTATATATATATACATTGTTTCACAATGGTCTTCATTACTCCGCTTTACAGCCTAATTTGTCGCCAATATATACTACTTATTATTGTTGTTTCCTTTCACCTTAGTTTCATAAATCATAAATCATCCCAGTTTCTGTTTATCTACTTATGTTTTCTGTGTGTGTGTGTGTGTGTGTGTGAAAGACTTTCTGGGCTACTATGCACATGCGTATATGCCTATTTAGTTAGTTGTCTTCCCCATTTACCTAACCAATTAGTTCATTGTAAGGCATCATTTATACTGCGACAGTTATTTGATGAGTATTTACAAGGAAAGTGACGATGTTATGTAGCGTGTTTGAGGGAGTGATTTGTTATTTCCATGAGCGCCTACAACAAATCACAGTAAGTTTTTAATGATATATTGTTTTTTTCTTCGGGAAACAACGAGTTGGGCGTCACACTTCGATGGTGACACATAGAAGAAATGAAACCTTATGGGCAATGGTGGAGCCAGCTATAAACAAAGTCTACAGAGAATAGGGTGGAATGGAGATGTGCGCTGTTGAAGCCCAGAGTTTCAAGGAAATACACCTCCTCCTCCTCCTCCTCCTCTTCCTGGTACTACATAAATTCAAGTGTTGGTTTGTAGAGATTTGTTTGATTGGTTACAGGATTTCATCATGAGCGCTGACATTGGTTAGAGAACCATTGGAAGACCAGTGGTGGAGTACTGGATAGCTGTTTCATCAGTCTAGTTTGCGACTCTTCATCAGTACGTACCCACCGGGGTTCGGACCCAGAACCTCCTGGTTACAAGGCGAGGAGATGAGAGGTTATGGGCAATCGTAGACCTAGCTGAAGAGGACACTACCAAATAGCACAAAGTGGAGTTGGGTTGTTGAAACCCTATGTTCCACTCGGAATAATAATAATACACTGTGTGTGATATCTTCTACAAAATTCATGAATAGAAGAGCGAGGGATGAAGTGGCGAAGGGCAGAAATGGATAAAGTTGTGAGTTTAATATAGAAAGCATCAAATAAAGACAAAAAGAAGCAGAAAAACAACTGTTAAGATCACAGATGGACACCAGTTAGAGAACCACTGAAAACCAGCGTGTACCGGACAGCTGTTTCGTCCCAATTTAGGACTTTTCGGTAGTACGTACCCTAGATTACAAATAGGAAGTGAAGTGGTAGAGCACGTTGACCGCTTCACTTACTTGGGAAGTACCATCAGCCCCAACGGGTTGATCTCCGACGAAATCTCAGCACGAATACAGAGGGCTAGGTTCGCATATGCCAGTTTACGCCGTCTCTGGCGTAGACGTGACATCCGACTATCGACCAAAGGGCGTGTGTACTGCTCAACAGTCCACTCCGTCCTCCTTTATGGCTGTGAGACCTGGCCATTGAGAGTAGAAGACATGAAAAGATTAGCTGTCTTCGATCATAAGTGTCTGCGTTCTATCTCCCGCGTGAAGTGGTATAATAAGGTGAGCAATATTGAGGTTAGGCGTCGAGTGCTAGGTAAGGAGGGGAAATCAATCGAAATTACATCGACTGAGATGGTTAGGACATGTGTTATGTATGCCTAGTCATCGCCTTCCTCGATGGACAATGTTAGCTGACATAGGGTCAGGCTGGAAAACAGCCAGTGGTGGTCAAACCAAAACATGGCTTCATCAGTCAATGAAATCCACAACAGTTAGTTTAAGCCAGTCAGCCACGTAGGAAGGTGTAGACTTCCTGGTTGGGGTCCTCAGGACGGTAAAATCCAATGAAGGCTGGAAACAATCGGTGACATGGCTAGCTCAAAATCGTTCTCAATGGCTGGTACAGATGCATCCACTCCTTGTGACTTATAATTTCCAATGAAACTATATTGTTCTTCGCTATTACTATTCCTTTGTCTCATACCTCTGTTTACTGTCTGTATTATGCATTTCTTCTACTTTCTTCTCTTCCTTCGTGTGCTACATGGGAGGAGTGTGGCGACTTGAACTGCCGCACATATATGCAAAGTTCTATGTCGAAAACCGACCGATCGACCGACCGACGTACCCGAGAACCTTCTTCGTACAAAGTAAGTCGGTTAGCCATTCACAGCCTCTGGAACAGAATCCAATAACGCATGAATTCTAACTTCTGTCAATTCGTGATACATCATAATAGCGCCACAATCACCACAAAAACTGATGTATTTTTTTCTCACAACCTCTGTGTTCGCCACCAATAAATAGGCACTGAATTTTAGTGGAAACCGCCAGAAACTAGAAACACAATAAAAACACGCTCCAATAAACGACTTAGTATGGTCGACAGTGGGTAGATTTCGATCTTCCTCTCGAAATACTCTCATCTGGTGGTGGTGGTGGGGGGGGGGCGACGCTTTGTTCACATAGCCTCTCTCTGCAAAGTAAGCCTTACTTTCACTGCCACCTTCATGTGGCCTGAGAGGGTTCCTCACGTCTGCTGGACTACCACCTAGAGGCGCTAGAAAACCCTGATTCCAAACCCATAGTGTTTACATGGGCTCCAGAATCCGATCCGAATGGGTCGAATCGCACATATGATGAACCTGTTTTAGTCATCGGAAACCATGGCGACGTAGCTCCTCTCCCACTATCTTGTAGATCAGATTTCAAGCCAAAGGCTTGGGGGGAGGTTTTAATCATATAATAATACACACATACACGCACAAAACAATCGATAAACCCACCTGATATTGATAATTTTGATGATGATGATGATTATGATTGCCTGTTTGTACACTGTACTGATGATGTTTTGACGAGGTGGATTGACTTCGATGATGTGGTGGAGAAGCTGTTGCCGGTTGCTGTTGATGATTATGATGGTGATGTTGCTGTTGTTGTTGTTGTTGACGAATTTGACAAGGATTTCGTTGTTGACTCGGCATCAATGATGCATAGATTTGATTTGATGCAGTAGTACAGCTACCACTACTCCCATTACTACTATTAGCACCACTTCCTCCAGTTGTTGATATTCGAGAAGGCATTGGGATAAGATTATCTAATAGGAGACTTTTACTTCCACTAAATGTATTTGTTGTAATATAATTATTCGTAGAAAATCGTGTCTGTACCGTCGTCTGTGGATGATGTTGGTGTTGATGTTGATGGTGATGATGATGTTGATAATAATAACGATGTGCATTAGGATGATTGAAGTGATGGTTGTTCTGGTGTTGATGTTGATTGTGAAGATGTTGGTGCTGATGTTGATGAGAATATTGCTGTTGAATAGAACTAGGATGAAGATGATTAGAAGATTGAGATGATATCTGAGTGCTATTCAACATTTGTATAGTATGATTATGCATATGATGAGATGATATATTACTATTACTATTATTATTATTATATGATGATTTCAACTGACCAAATCCAATTCCAGCATATGCTCCCATTGGTGACATGAATATATGGTTATTATTATTATTATTACTGTAATGCGTAGTATGATGATTAGGGAATGTAAACGCTGGTAAACGTCTTTGTGATGAACGCTTACTGCCTTCACTTAAAGCTAACAGTTTACGAGCATCTTCAATTGATTGGGCACCTAAAATTGGACGAGTAAATGTACTATTATTGCCGGTACTTGCAGGAGTTATTGTTGCTGAGGATGACACAGAAGTTGATGATGTTGATAACGTGGGTGATGGTGTTACAGCTTTGTTACTTGGCAATTTTTTCACTGATGAATTTGATTCGATAATAGCTGGTGGTTGAGTAAAACAACTCTTGGCAGATAATTTTGTATCTAAATCAATAAATAAATCAATAAATAAAGGAATAGCTAAGTTTATTTATTTAACGGAATTTAAATATTTATGTAAATAAAAGAATTTTCTATAGTTTGGTTTGTAAGGATTAGTTATGTTTTTTACGAGTTGATCACGGACTGATATCAGTTAGAGAACCATTGAAAACCAGCTGTCCAGTACTCCCTGGTTTTCAATGGTTCTCTAACTGATATCAATCCGTGATCAACTCGCACAAAACATAACTAATCCTTACAAACCAAACTATAGAAAATTAATCTGATGCTCGCTAGTGACTTGCTACAGGACGGACGGAGTTTCCTGGAGTTCTAGTGAGAAGTCGTGACCAGTGAAGTCCAATTAGATGTCACGTGTGTGGATGGATGTCCCACCAACGACAATGGTTGGGGTCGCGCTAAATCACGAATTGGTAGAAGTTAGAATTCATGCGGTGGTGGCCATTGAACCGGGTCCCAGTGGCTGAATGGTATACGAGCCAGCTTGCCTTGTAACCGGAAGGTCCTGGGTTCGAATCATGGTGGTGGGTGCGTACTGCCGATGATTCCCAAACTAGGCTGATGAAACAGCTGGCTGTCCAGTACTCTCAATTGGTTTTCAATGGTTCTCTAACTGATATCAGTCCGTGATCAACTCGTAAAATAAAAGAATCATTTCAATTTAGGCGACACATACACACACACATACACACTGTGTTTTGAAGTTTCTTTCCGTAGCATCGATCAGGTTGATTTTACACAGTAAGGGTTCGCTATAGCCCCATGCATGGCATATAGATAAGGAGATCAAAGCCAGGCGGGATTGAAAAAAGCAACACAGATCTTCACTCATTAACCTGAAATCAGAACAAGGAACAAGATCCGGACTTTCAATACTAATGTTAAGTCAGTCAGTAGTCAATGCTTTTCTTTATGATTCAGAGATTTGGCACAGGCATCGTGAAGATCATTTCCAACAAGCTGCTGCATTGTATCTTATCGACAGCTGCCCACTTCGTCTGTCTGTCTCTGTCTGGATTCAACGTAGAACTTGGCACCGAAGTGCAGCAGTTCCAGTTGTCACGTTCCAAAGAGCACACAAAGGTAGACAAGAAGATGAGTAATGAAGAGAATCAATAGAGTTTTGACAAGTATAAGAGTGAAACAGAATGAGTAATGGTAGAAAGGAATATGAAAGATTACAGAGACTGAATACATCTGCATAAGCCATTGACAACGATGAGTTTGAGCCATGTCACCTATTGTCTCCAGCCATTGATTCTTAGAGTCCCGAGGGCGGGCCCCAACCCGGAAGTCTGCATCTCCCTACCTGACTCAGTTTAACTGTCAAGGATTTCATGGATTGATGAGGCCATGCTTTTGTTTGGCCTCCAACCTGCACCTATATCAGCTAGTAATGCCCGTCTGTCGGGGGAGGCGATGGTTAGGCATGCGCAGCACGTCACCTAGCCATCTCAATCTATGTAACTTTATAGCCTCTTCGATTGATTTTCCCTCTTTGCCCAACACTCTACGCCTAACGTCAACATTACTTACTTTATTATGCCACCTAACGTGAGAAAGAGATCGTAGACATCTATGATCAAAAACAGTCAACTTTTTCATGTCTTCAACTCGTATTGGCCATGTTTCAGAGCCATAGAGAAGGACGGAGCGAACTGCTGAGCAGTACACACGTCCCTTGGTTGACAGCCGGAGGTCACGCCTACGCCAGAGATGGCGTAGGCCGACTTCGTTCCATAACAAAGGTCAGATAGTCAAGTAGAAAAGATTATCATATTATTATTCCCTTGGGTTCAGAGTGAAATATAGCGCTTCAGCGACACATCTCCACTTTTCAAGTATTGGTTTTTTTGTAGGGATTTTTTTTCTTTGTTTGATTGGTTGGAGGATTTCATCATGAGCTGACATCAGTTAGAGAACCATTGGAAAACCAGTATTTGGGTACTGGACAGCTGTTTCGTGTCAGTTTCGGACTCTTCAGCAGTAAGCACTCACACTGCAGGGTACGAACTGATATGTAGTCACATGATGGTGGATTTTTGATGGTTAGGCTAACAACTGTGGCGAAGCTTCCATATATGTAACTACCTGTCGTGGTTTTTGGCTGTTTTGTCCTATCACTCAAGCATTTCACTGGTCCCATTTTTACTGACATCGAGTGGGATAAACAGAAATCCAAATATCGATTTAACTTGAACATTTTTTCCCGCTTAGTGACTTTCAGACTCATAAGATTCAAAATCGTACTACCTCCAATCACCACAAAATAATTTCCAGTCAGTCAGAATGAGTTCAAAGAGTGATATGCGCGTACCTAAGCCTCCTAAACCACCTGAAAAGCCGTTGATGCCGTATATGCGGTACAGTCGTAAGGTGTGAGAGCAAATGAAGAATTCAAACCCGCATCTGAAATTGTGGGAGGTGGGTAAAATTATTGGTCAAATGTGGCGATGACGATGAAAAACTGTTGTACATGGAAGAGTACGATGCTGAGAAAACACAATATACAAAGTTGCTACGTCAGTACCACACTTCACCAGCTTATCAAGCCTGGTTGCTCGCAAAGCAGAGAGAGGAGAAAAGCATGGAGGAACAAGACCAGGAACGAAGACAATCGATTTTGAGATCAAGAGATCGTGGTAATGAAATCCCTCAAGGTGATTTAAGGGAATCTTACATATTAGAAGATGACGAAGACAAAGCATATTGTGAGTTATAATGAAACATCGATCAATATACACATAGCAAAATATATCAGACTGTCAAAAACAAAGGCAGACATCATGTGACTACATATCACGAACCCAGGACCTTCTGGTTACAAGGCTAGCTAGCTCCTAGACCATTAAGCCAATGGGACCTGATCCAATGGCCAGTCCATGAATTCCAACTCCTGCGCAAACATTAGCGAATCTCATCGTTGGCGAGTATTTGTCCTCACATGCACCTGACCTGCTGTACCCCTACTGGTCGGTCCCGACTTCCCACTAGAACCCAGGTGTAACTGCCTACCTACCTGAATAGGACCAGTCACTCACTAGTGAGCATCGGATTGATATTCAAGTGGTGGTATGCAGGGATTTGATTGGATCGGGTCCCAGTGGCACTTAATAGACTACGAGGTCGCTAGATTGACGAAATAGCTGTCCAGTACTCTCACAGTTGGTTTTCCAATGGTCCTCTCTCTAACCGATGTCAGTTCATGATGAAATCTTGAAACCAATCAAATAAAATCCTTGCAAACCAACACACTTGAATAAAAATGGTATAGTTTAGTTGATTGTGCGTCGGTGGCACAGCGGTTAGTACGCTTGCCGACCGTGCACATGGTCCGGGGTTCGATCCCCGGCCACTGACGCACTCCTTTACCTCGCTAAACCAGGAATAATGCTGGTAAAGAGGAAAGGTTGGGCATGAGGTGGCTAGCAACCCTATCCTGAAAAAAAAATAATCACCACTACTGCTACAGAAACTTCAAGCCTGTAGCTTGAAGAAGCCCTATGTTCCACTGGGGAACGTGAAGGAAAAAAAGTTTTGTTGATTAAACATTTCCTAGAAAGGTGAAAGCAGAAGAAGAAGAGGGAAACACGAAGATAATAATAATATCAATTAATTATTTACTACTGTCCAATAACTGGATGGGGGATATAACGTATCAGAAGTATTACAAATTACAGTTGAAATTAATATGTAGTGACCTTTTAAAGACAAAACGTTAGTGTATGTGTATGTATGCGCATACAAATCTCACAGAAACATCAAACAAATTAGAACAGTTAAGGATGATAGGGGGTTCGGTACATATATGTGAAATGTTGCCTAACCAGTTATTCGATAAAGTGTGAAAACATTTTGATAGATAGATAATATCAATTTCATTAAACATTGGATTGAAAACATTTCAGTTTTTTTTGAAAGAAAATTACTTTTCAATGTTGGCTAATTCTAAAACTAGTTGCAGGATAATCGGCATAGATAGGATTAACCCCACTTGTTTCAGGTTAATCCACGGATTGATGTCATCAGTTACGGAACCAATGAAAGCCAGCTGGGAGTAATGGACAGCTGTTTCATCCCCCCTAGTTTCGGACTCACCGGCAGTACGCACCCACACTGTGCGGGGTTCGAACCCAGGATGGAGTTCCCACCAGTGACATTGGTCAGTAGGCACGCCAAAAAAACCTGAATTGGTAGAAGTTAGAATTCATGCAGTGGCCATTGAATCGGGTCCCAGTGGCTGAATGGTATACGAGCCTGACTTGTAACCGGAAGGTCCTGGGTTCGAACCCCGTGCAGTGTGGGTGCGTAGTACCAATGAACCGCAAACTAGGGTGAAACAGATGACTGTCCAGTACTCCCAAGCTGCTTTTCAATGGTTCTCTAACTGATGATATCAATCCGTGGTCAAACTCGAAAAATAAATCAAGTCCTTACAGGTCAACTCTTAAAAAATAGTAATACTAACGATAATAATAATAATAGTAATAAATCTTAATGGGAAAATAGCAAATAATTAATAGATAAAATACCTTTCAATTCTGGACGGTTATCAGGAGGCGATGAAAGACTGCATACATCAACAAACTGCTGAGATTCACTACCTTCACTTGTGGTAGTAGTAGTAGTAGTTGTAGTAGTAGTGGTCGTGCCGGTACAATTACCCACTCCAGTGACTGGAATAACAGTCGGTTGAATGCCTGTTTTCGAGTCTTTTGCACTAGGCTCTAATCGCATCGATAATTGAGATAGTAATTCTGGATCTTGAACAATTTTCAAATTAGCCAAATATGTTCGAATACGCAGAGTCATTAACCAACTTTCATAGATTTTCTTTGCATTAACTGAGGATGACGTTGATGATGACGACGAAGAGATGAAACCTAGATTAGATCGTCTACGAATCCCGCCGCCGCCACCGCCACCACCACTGGTAATACTACCACTATTATTACTTCCAGAAATCATAACAGGACTAGATATAGGCAGATTGAAGTTGAAATTTCCACTGGAAGTAGATGTTGTAGAACTGCCCAATTGATGAAGACGTTTATGTCCAGCTGTGAGATGCATAACAAAAAACACACAATAAAAGCATAAAAAATCAGCATCTCAATTGTGCGCGTGTGTGTTGGTTCATTGGCCTTGGTCGCCATTGGCGGGCAACTCAAAGGCGCGAATGGTTCAATCGTGTACAAGTTGGAAGAAGACGAAAGAATACGAATAAAAGTACAGCATATTTATTGTAAACATTTGTTTACAGACTATGTACTAACGTCGATTTTAATTGCCAAACAATACAACTTCTTTCTTACAACCACTGGTGTTTTGGAGTTAAAGTCGACAATCAGTCGTAGTAATTATCGGTTCGAAGCGTCTTCGTAACAATAGGAACTTAAGGTTAAGAAAACTCATCCATCACCGCATTGCGTCGGTGGTCCATCCAGTGGTATAATGCTCGTGAATCACGCACAAGTTCAGGGTCCGACTCCCACTGTGGTGAGAGATGGCTGCTAGCCAAAGTTGGTAGACAGTAATTGACGTCAATGTTTATGTCCCCAATATTGGTGGTGAGAAAATGATGAGAACAAAGGCTTTGCGTAGGCGGGTACAGTTAGCAGCATATGGATGATCTGACACAGCCACAAAGAGATGCAAGGTTAACTTTCTGTGAGAAACAACCAATCAAAAGACTGTATGATCTACTCACAATAATCTACAATAATGTACATTGAAATCTATAAATATGTATTGATTTTCCTTAATAAACGATCTGTTGCCTGGCCCTTGTCTTCTGTTGTTATACCACCACTGATACACTTCCTAAACCTCAATTAGCTGGTAGTAAGTGCAGCAAAGACGGAAGGTTGGGCGTGAGGTTAGCAACATCATCCCATAAAAAACAAATACAATCGCTATGGAAACTTCAAGACTTAAGCTTGAAGCCTTAAGTTCCACTCGGAACACAAAGGGATGAAAAAAAACCACGTCATTTTGAAGGATAACAATTCATGTGAGTTGAATAAAATGACACCCGAGAACATTGTCGTGGAGAAGTGACTTATTGGCTAAAGGATTCGAGCATTCAAGCCAATAGGTATCGGATTCGAATTCAACTCCACCTATGTTAGTTTGGAGAATGATGTGCTCTTGGAAGTGTGTGGGCGGTTGTTACTTCCCGGCTGCCCACACACCGTGGAAGTTGATTGATTCTTCGGGTACTTGAAACAGAGAGAGGGTTACGTGACCACAGAGCCCAGGGGACAACTGTTTGAGGCCAGCCAGTCACACACGGCCTGTATGAACTGGTTTCTTGGTTTGGTTCCGTATTAGTAAACTTACCGCCGGTTACGGACCACCGTAGATGGGGTAAGTCGGGATGTACAATTTTCCGGGTTGACCTTTTCTAACTCCCTCTCTCCAGAGTGGAGAGACAACATAGCTGGCTGGCATGCTGGTCATCTGAGGGAAACACCTTACTGATGTTACATCCCTGTTCCCCAACAGTACGACTTCGCCCACAGACTCCCAGAATAGTGTAAAAAAATTCTTACACTATGCTGGTGTAACAACAGAAACAAGGGCCAGGCAATAGAACGTTTATTACGGAAAATCAACACATATTTATAGATTTTGACGTATATTATTGTAGGTTAATGTTAGTAGAAATACATTTTGATTGGTTGTTTCTCAACAAAGTTAACTTGCATCCATCTATATGTTAACTGTATGTTGCATCTTGACCTTGTCAATACTACTCACATACTCAATTACTGTCAAGCAATTGGCTAGTAGACAGCTCTCACCACACTGGCAACTACTTTTAGTCTAATCGCTATCCTAACAACCTTCCTGGCATGGTAGGACCTGCAGGAACAATAGTTCCAGCCAGTGTAGCTTGTTGGGTCATTGCGATGTGCAAGCCCGACCAATACGTCAAGGTAGCAGCTATTGGTCAGGATGTTAGTTTGGACAACCCACTATATGAGAAAAAATTATCAGTTCTATTAAAATCATACTTTCTTCGAAAACCTCTCTATATCTAAATCCGAAGTTTTAATGGAGACTCATAAAGCGGTAGTGCTAAGAAACCGCCTATCCAGGTGGTCATTGAAGAAAAACCTTCTGTTTCGCAGTTGAAATTCGATTTGAATGAACGTGGAAAATAAGCCCACCACTACTGGTCGGCCTCACCAGGGTGTATCAATCAATTTAGTTGCTTCTATGGTTTTATAAAGGAGAAGACCTGATCGACTCTGGACACCAATCGAACCTGCAAACCGACTTCAGAGTCACTTACAGAGTACGCGGAAATCTTGTCAAGATTCTTCAAACCGCAGAAGCGATGACAATCCGTACTTGAAATCCTGAACTCTGCATACAGAAGAAGTTTATTCAGTCAACGAAACCTACAATGGATATGTAATTTTTAGTTTTCCAATAATATTATTTTTCTCTACCCCCTCCGCTCCTTCACGATTACATATTTCTACTTCTTATGTCACTGATCTTAACTTGAGTGACTTTCAATTTTAGTTACGTCCTAACTCCATTCCGTCAATGACACTGCGTAGTCACGCAATTTGCTCATTTAATTTTTATTTTAGTTTCTTCTATCCAAATAACGCTTTTCATATTACGTAATTTGTTATCAAAAATTTACAATTCTAATGAAACATCTTTGGAAACGTTCCCCTCTTGTCGCTATGACAGTGCAATATATGTATGCGATTGTACAGCTTGAGAATGATATCGCTGAAAAAAAAGAACTAACTCTCCATCGAACACCTTTTCGTTAATATATGATTCAATGGGGATTATTAAGTTGCAATCAGATTTTACAGTCCCTTAAAATACATTTTAGGAGGTTAATAAAAAAGAGCGATTCTCAAAACAACTCTCTTTCCCCTTGAAGTAAATTTGTGGATGGTGACTCTAGCAATGGAATCCAAAATGAGTATTTCGTCCTGTTAGAGACTCGTCATCCGGATTTACCTGCATTCCCGATCCAATCAATCAATCAACAGGAAAGTTCAAATTGAATCAAATAACACTACTGATACCCGTTTACAAAAAAGAATTGGGTGGTTCTCATGGCCCAAGTGATCTAGAAGACAACCTCTTTGGTGTTTGAAGCGATAGCCACTGGATTCAGGCCTCAGCAGGAACACTATCACTCACTCACTCACTCACTCACTCACTCACTCACTCACTCACTCACTCACTCACTCACTCACTCACTCACTCACTCACTCACTCACTCACTCACTCACTCACTCACTCACTCACTCACTCACTCACTCACTCACTCACTCACTCACTCACTCACTCACTCACTCACTCACTCACTCACTCACTCACTCACTCACTCACTCACTCACTCACTCACTCACTCACTCACTCACTCACTCACTCACTCACTCACTCACTCACTCACTCACTCACTCACTCACTCACTCACTCACTCACTCACTCACTCACTCACTCACTCACTCACTCACTCACTCACTCACTCACTCACTCACTCACTCACTCACTCACTCACTCACTCACTCACTCACTCACTCACTCACTCACTCACTCACTCACTCACTCACTCACTCACTCACTCACTCACTCACTCACTCACTCACTCACTCACTCACTCACTCACTCACTCACTCACTCACTCACTCACTCACTCACTCACTCACTCACTCACTCACTCACTCACTCACTCACTCACTCACTCACTCACTCACTCACTCACTCACTCACTCACTCACTCACTCACTCACTCACTCACTCACTCACTCACTCACTCACTCACTCACTCACTCACTCACTCACTCACTCACTCACTCACTCACTCACTCACTCACTCACTCACTCACTCACTCACTCACTCACTCACTCACTCACTCACTCACTCACTCACTCACTCACTCACTCACTCACTCACTCACTCACTCACTCACTCACTCACTCACTCACTCACTCACTCACTCACTCACTCACTCACTCACTCACTCACTCACTCGGCTGACAGACGAGTCCCCAATAGGACGAAATGCGCATCCAGGATTCCACTGCCAATTTACTTCACGTTAACCAATCAGACATCATCGAAGCATCTGCACCAGGCGCCGACAATGTCAACCTAAGGCCGAGCACCGCGGTCCAATCAATCAATCTTTTAACTGGATGTACGTGCACACTCACAAGAATATCAGCATTTAGAAAAAATAAGGCAAATACTCAGACAACATATTACTTACCATTATTAGTAGTAGTACTAGTACCACTACCAGCGAGTTATTATTCGTCGTTGTAGAGCTTGTATCATGACTGAGTTTTTTCTCCCGTTGTTGTTGTTGCTGGTGCTGTTTACTTTCATCCATAGAAGAAGTACTAAGTTTCCCTTCAACTGTATCATAATCTGACCAACTTGAATCTGTTCCATTCATATTATTACTAGTATTATTTGTCTGACTATTGTTCATTGATGATGATGATGCAATATTGAAAAAATATGATTTTGGATTAATCATTGAAACAGAGGCAACTGCTTTAACAGCACTTAGATTTACACCAACAACACGTGATCGACCACCGCCACCACCGGCGCCGCCGCCAAGTCGACCACGATGTCCAGTAATACTACCAGTAGTTGTAGACGTTGTCGAAGCAACAGCGCTGCATAAATCATAATCTACATTACACATTCGACAGATAGCACGTACCTAAATTCGAAAAAGTTGATATCATTATCAAGGAATAACAGAAGACGAGGAGGGAAGAAAAAGAGATTATAATTTGGATGGAACTCATAAAATTATGTTTTACAATATACTTCCAATTCAATAATCAAAATATACGAACAGATAAAAGGAAAATCAATTAGATCGCCTATTTATTTCTGGATTAGTAGCTGAAGCCGTTATACAAAGATCAGAATTAATAGCTCTCCGCCCCATTGAGGACGATTTTGAGCCATATCACCAACTGTCGCCAGCCTTCATTGATGTTTACCGTCCCGAGGACCCCAACCAGTCAGTCAGGAAGTCTACACCTCCCTACGTGACTGGCTGGCTGGCTTAAACTAATTGTTGTGGATTTCATTGACTGATGAAGACATGCTTTGGTTTGACCACCACACTATGTTGGCAGCTAACATTGCCCGTCGAGGAAGGCAAAAAGCACACGAAGCCTTCCTGAGCATCATTCTCCTATCCTCTGAGCAGCTCGTTGAGACTGACTGAATTGTGAAACTTTCGTCGTCGTCCTTCTAGACAACAACATCCCCATTTAGCGCTGGTTTTAGTATAATATGGGATCGCCGATATCAGGGTAAATAGGTGAAGCCGTTATGCAAAGATTAGAACTAATAGTCCTCTCTACCCATAAGCAAACCAAAAATCTGGACAGGTGCGTTATTTTGATGATACATTTGTAATAATTAAGAGAAATGAGATTTGGAATACACCCACTAATGAATAAACAACATATTTGAAGACACATTAAATTCACCACGAGAGAAGAAGAATTAGACAACAAAATTCCATTCCTAGATTTCTTCCTTAGTCAAGAGAACTAACAGATTGGGATTTAGAAACACAAATATATAGAAAATCAACGCACACACACAGACCAAATATTCAACTATAATAGTAATAACCCGATTACCACCCACAAAAGAAACTGTGTGCAGACATTTGTTTAAAAGAGTTCAAACACACTGTAGCACTCATATGTTGAAGAGAATGGGGGGAAAATACCTATTAACCGTTTTCAAAAAGAATGGATATCCTCATACAATTTCATCAAAAAGTGTTTAAAATCGAATCACAACACCAAGAAGGAACCATCATCATCAAAAACTACAAGAAAATTCACTTTACCATATATATATATATATATATATAAAGAATATCTCTGGAATAACAGCTAGAATATTAAAACCGCTTGATATAGGATATAGGACACAAACCAGCCAGAAGAATCACTTCATTCGATATTGTGCATATCAAAAGATTCAACAGAAAAAGAAGATGAGATCAATACCATTTACAAAATAAACTGTATGAACTGTAATAAACATTACATCGCTCAAAGTGGGCGTCTCCTTCGAATACGAATCCAAGAACATAGATTAGCTATAAAAAGGCACACACTATGTATCCTTTCATATCAATGCATGTAGATAATTATGGACACCAATTCGACTGAGATAATTTAATGAGATAGAAGACCTGGATTTCGCGGATGATTTATGTTTGATGTCACACAAAATCGAAGACTTACAAGCGAAAACCGACAAACTGGTCGAAGAAGCAGCAAAGACAGGACTCCAGGCGAACATAGACAAGATGGAGGTTATGAAAACAACCAACCAACAACAACAGCAGCAACATCCAGTGCCGGTCACCATCAACGGGAGGGATTTGAAAGAGCTTACTTCATTCACTTATCTAGGGAGCATTGTCTCAACTACAGGAGGAACAAACCAGGATGTCAAATCGAGAATCGAGAAAGGCGAGAAACACATTCATCAACCTGAAACTAATCTGGAAATCTTCCTCACTCAGCATCAACAACAAAATTCGGATTTTCAATTCAAACGTCAAGTCAGTCACTTCTTCTATACGGATCAGAAACTTGGCGGGTCACAAAGAATATTTCCAACAGCCTGTTGCAGACCTCTATCAACAACTATCTTCGCTCTAAACTACTGAAGATCAGATGGCCGCCGGAAAGAATCACCAACAAGAAACTATGGGAACAAACGAAACAAGAACTAATCGCTCAACAAATATGCAGGAGAAAGTGGAGATGGATTGGACACTCGCTGAGGAGGCCGTTGGGTGACATCGCGCGTCAGGCCATTACTCGAGTGGTGGAACCCGAAAGGGAAGCGGCGAGTGGTACGTCCAAGGGTGACATGGAGGAGATTGTGTGAAGAGGAGTTGAAACAGTATGGACTAACATGGATGCAGGTGAAAAGTACAGCAGAAGAGAGGAGCAAGTGGAGACGTGCAGTTGAAGCCCTATGTTCCACTAGGAACCCAAGGGAACAATAATAATAATAATAAAAATTTTAAATAGAGGAAACGCCAAAAATGCAGTCAGAGGATTTCTAGAAGCCTGGTGGTACTCAAATGAATCACCACCGATTAACAAACACACATTATTATAGACTAAATTGACCAGCTACTAAAGAGTTAATCACATGACAAGGAAATTCAAATCTTCAAAAGAATGGATACTGAACAAAGAGTACTCTTTTCGATAACTTCATCATCAGGCTCTACAGTTATATGTATACATTATAGTGAATGAATGAATTCGTGTTATGAACAACATTAATGTTGTTTAAATGACATCGAATCAATAATATGAATAGATTACAGTTCAATAGCATCAACATAAAATAAGCTGAATGTCAGAAGAATTATGAAAGATTAAAGTATAAATTCATGAATTTATAGTCTCTACTGAAGGCCAGGGCAGTAGTAGGGGCTGGACTTGTTTCTTTTGAAAACAGAGCACTGGTTGTTTGAGGCGAATTGCAATAGCCTCTGCTGTTTGGAGCATGCGGTGCTTCAATGATTTTGGCAATTTATTAGCCACCCGTTAGATTATAGAGAAGGATTCTTCTACGCTGGCTTTGTGACCGGTTTGCACCAGATGGTTTAATATCGAGCTGTTAATAGTTTTAACTACACCTTTACTTAGCCATAGTGGGAGATGTTCTCGAGCACGAAAAATCAAGTTCCTAGAGCAACGGCCAATATAACTCGCTGCAAAAGCGCAGTTGAATTGATACAGACAATTCAAATTCAAATCTCACGTCAATAAAAATGATCAAAAGAGATGTAAATTAACAACAACCAGTCAGGACAGTAGTCGTCGCCAGAAGATACAATTATACCATCATTCATGGAGAATTCAAAATGAGTTCATTTTCAACTAAAATCTCCACTGAAGATGTAGTCTAGATGGACAACGAAAGCCTCGCAATTAAATCTACGACCAGCTCAGAGAAGACAACTAAATCAGAAAATTTATATATATATATATGCGTCAGTAGGTGCTCATCAACCATTCATGTAGTCCGGGGTTCGAATCCCCGCGCCACCAACGTACTCCTAAACCTCGCTTACCTGGTAGTAGTAGTAGTAAGCTCAGCAAAGAGGGGGGAAAGGCTGGTTGTGAGACTAGCAACCCTACCACCTCATAAAAAACTTCAAACCTCCCAGCTTGAAGCCCAATAGCTCGGCTTGGAACACATTGGGATAGAATAATATACAATGATAATAATAGTAATAATAATAATAATATACATACTTGTGGACGTACAAATGAAATTATTGAACGAACACGGGGACAGTGCTATTCCACTCACTATTCACTAGTAAGGCAAGGCTACTTTGCATAAATACGATGAAGTGAAATATATATATATATATATATGTACGTCCATCTACACGTGGTCTAACTTGTGAAAACATCAAACGCACACACCTAGTCTTTATCAGTTTTAACACCATTGAAGTTGAAGCATGAGAAAAGGAGGGCTGTGTCATTTAGTAAAAGCTTTTAATCCAACAACAAGGAGACAAAAGCACAGAGGAAGATAGAGCGGCAGTGGTTGACAGAGTGTATACTTTATCGAAATATATCGTACAGTAAATGGAAGTATAAACCTCATCAACAGGAGTATGTCAACAAATAAGAAAAAAAGAAAAAAGGAGAGAGATGCAGAGAGTTTTGGAGTTTCTTATCTCTATTTCTCTGTGAATTTGTGAAAAACCAAATACAAACAACACGAAGAGAGAGAGATGTTGGATTAACAAACTTTAAGATAAGAAGTAAATAATATACATGTGAACAAATACAAATACAAAAGCTAATCTATATACATATACTTGATCAGAAATAGGAATAAAAGAAGAAACAAATCGATCAAGCTAAAGACAGTGAGCTGAGAAGGCAGTAGGAGGAGCGGACGGACGGAATTCCCTAAGAAGCACTAGAAAACGTACTCAAAGAGGCAGCCACGGATATTTATCCAACTCATCTACATCCAGCATCCTAGGCATCGTCTTCGCTCTCAAACTCCCACTCTAAATAGGTCTTCGTATCTATGGAACCAAGTATTGAATGTAATGTTTGCGTCTGGGTCTTAAATAAATTCGAATATTGTGTCACTGGCTGGAGGTGAATTGGTAGGGCGTGAAATCCGTTCACCAACAAGCAACCGCATTATTTTAAGCTGCTACTCCACCAATTTCTCTAAGTGTGTAAGGTCCATTCCCACGTTCTATCCGTCGCCAAATTTGATATGACTATCAATGCAACCTGGTGGTCTACGAGTCGCTTGCGGTAACAAACTTTCCTGCCTACAACAACCACCACGACACGATACCACTGACACGTGAGAAAGAAAGAAGACAGACTGTTGACAGAAAAGCATTTACTGCCTCGATGGCATAGCAGTTAGGACGCTCGCTGACCATGCAAATGGTCCGGGGTTCGATCCCCTACCGATGCACACCCGATATTTATGGTCGGCCTGCAAAATTTGGGCTACCGATATCCATGCTGAAAATTCCATACTTGTACTGAAAATACGGTGTGGTATCAAGCTGTAATCAAAATAAATAAATAAAATAAGTTTTTCAGTCCTCTTTAACGGTCTCCACTATTGACCATAAACTGTCATCTCCTCACACGATCCCATCCAAGTTCCCCTGTGATACCCAACTGGTTGTTTCCTATTTGGTTTCCACTCGAGAGCATGGCTCGTGATGTGTCACTCAGTGATCTCCCGAGCTTGTGTCCGATCTATCTCCATTTTCTTCGGCCTCTTTGCTGAGCAATAGGTTCTTGACACCTTCATTCCCAAAGTTCCTTGTTGGGTAATCCTTTCCGGCCAGCCGATCATCTGATCTCAGTAGTTGCGAAGGTAGCTGTTGATATATACGTCTGCAGTGGGTTGTTGGAAATGCTTTCTGTGACGCACTGAGTCTCTGGACCATAAAGAATAGATTTCCACACTGGTTCTAGAGTGATGAAGATCTGTCTGACTTTTCCGGCTTTTCCTGCCGCCGGCTTTGACATCCTCATCCGTGCTGCCTGTAAGTTGGAACTATGAATGCCCAAATAGGTGGAATAAGTCACCTCGTTCAAACATATTCCCTTAGTAGTGATTGGTTTTCATTGTTATGGGTTGGTTATCTTCATCACCTCCGTCTTCTCTATGTTCACTTGAAGTCCTGTCTTCGCTGTCTGCTTCTTCTCTACAAACTTGTTGGTTCTCGCCTGTAAGCCTTCGAATTTATCTGACATTAGACATGAAATGTCCATGATGTGCTGATCTTCTGCACTTTTCTTGTCGGTTCAACGTATTCTTGTCTTCTCGCTCCCCCACATAATCCAGTCCACCACAATTAGGAATATCATCGGTGATAGTAGGCTGGCAGCCTTGTTTTACTCCTGTCCTCACCTCAAGGGCTTCTCTGAGTTTTTCATTGTGGATCTTTTAGCCTGTGACATCGCCATACAACTGTTGAATCTGGGATACTCCATCGTGTTGAAGTAGTTTCCAAATTACTTCGCGGTCAATGCTGTCTCTAAGGCCTTTCCAAAGTCGATGAAGTTGTGGTAGACAGAGATTTGACTGTTCGATGACGATGGGGTGTGTGTTGTAGAGTTGCAATTTGATCCACATAATGATTTGCTTTCCTTGAATCTAGTTTGTTCCGGGGGGGGGGGGGGGTTGGCGGAACTCTTAAATCTAGTGCCTCTTTTATTCTCTCCAAGATGACGCGCGACTTATTAGTTTACTTGGTCACCCTTATTTACTAATTTGACAACAAGTAGTCAGCCTTTCTTTCAACCAGTAGGCGGTGCCTTTTGCTTCCTTGTTTACTTCCAAACTTTTTGCAACAGCACCGTGAAAATACTGCAACCTGATTCTCCCTCCGAAGCCCAAGGACAGAACATCCTCGACGAAGCTATCCAAACACCCGGACAGCAGTTTGATGATCATAGATCATTGTTTGACATATGTTACTATTGCATGAAACTGGCGCTGAATGATGGAAACGATGACAATCACACTAAGCTGGATATTGTTAACCAACAATGTGAACGGTTCAAGTTAAATTCATCGAAAGAAGATCAGTTTAAAGCCTTTGTCTTCATTTCTGCTTTACAGTCTTCCCAGTTTCCCGATGGAGGAACACGCTTGTTGATCAGACTTGAACAATACCCGGAAATGACGTTGAAAGACATTGGAGAAGAATATCAGCGATTAACCAACCTTCCCAGACATACCACCTTGATCCACTCTGGCAGCCACAATGTAGCGGGAGTAAATGCGGTGCGCATTCGATACTGTCGACCGCAAACTCACCGCATTGTTCGCAGGAGAATCCGCCTTCAGCATGCTTGCACTATGCAAAGTCATGCCCATACAAACACAATAAATGCCGACAACGCTACATCATTGGACACTAAACTGTAAGAAGATTCACCGACCAGAGTTCAGAAGCCGATCCTATCGAAGTCCCATGTCGAAAGCTATGAATACCATAGCTGCCTATCACACCAGCATTCCTGCTCCATGTAAATACATTGAAGATGCTGTCCACCTCTGACACCCAGTTAAAGGCATTTGTGTCTCCATTAACACCTGTTTACACAGATATGACGGGAAGGCTGTGAATAGCGACTGCACTGAGTTGAACACAAGTCCTAGTTGCAAGAAAAACCAAAGACAGGCAACGGCATGCAACCACACTACCAAGATTCAACTACGAGCTTTTTAACTGCAGTAACTTTAAGGAGGACTGATTGGAGAGCAAATTCTGAGTGCCAGAGTTATATTAGAGGATTTAAATTGTAGTCATTCTGATTACGGAGTCTCGATCGAGTCCCGTATTCGCCACTGATTGTCACTACCTTCCCGTAGAGACGCAGTGGGTAATTTTACTTTCCACTGCCGTCCTTGGATATGGTAAACATTTCTAAGGCTCGCCTTCTGTGTATTATTCGGATAATCTCTTTAACAGTAAGGAATACAGAAGACTCGTCCGGTATATGCTCACCAACTTACGCCATCTCTGGTTTAGTAGACGCGAAAGCCGGTTGACTATCGACCAAAGAGCGTATGTACTGCTCAGCAGTTCGCTCCGTCCTCCTTTATGTCTGTGAGTGAGACATGGCCCCTATTGAAAATGGAAGACATGAAACGCCTAGCCATCTGTCTTTGAGCATAGGTGTCTGCACTCTATCTCCCGTGTGTAGTGGTATAACAGGGTAAGTAATATTGAGGTTAGGCTTCGGTCGAGTGCTAGATGAGTTGGAGGGGAAATCAATAGAAGAGGCTGTGAAGTTACACCGATTACAGTTCATTAAAGATGCTTAAATAATAATAATAATAATAATAATAATAAAGATATAGTAACGAATAGAATATCAACTAAAATTAGGGAAATTCCACAAAAATTCAGGATCACTCAAACCTTGCCTCCAAAGCCTCAGGATGGTCGGGGGTGGGTGCCTTGCGCTGCGGGTTGGCCACCCCTCCGAACACCTCTTCAGATGCTCCCATATGACCGGGCGTCTTACATAGCCTCTCCTGAGGAAGTCCTACTCACTGCCTTCACGTGGCGGAGGTGTTTTTCACCAAAGTGAGAGGGCGAAAGCGGATGCCCGGCGCTCTTCACCGGGTTGACTGTCCATTGGATGACACTCTAGGGGAGATGGCTAAACCCTGATTCCAAACCTCCAACGACTGGCATATGAAGCTCACTGGAGCTCACCGGTAGACGTATGGACAAAGGGCTTGTTGGATGTCCTGGATGTCTGGCCCCATTCAAAAAGGCGTATGAACCGAACTCCGGTGACCGGCTGCCAATGGATAGTGGACTCCCTACTCCACTCCTACTGCCTTGTAGGTCACACTTGGTAATGTAAAGGCTAGAGCTGCACTCTCAAACAAAAGGCCGAGCGGTTCTGGGGACATCACTCGTACCAAATTCCCATGAAACTTCATGAACTCTCTTAACCCTGTCGCAAAATCTTGCGTCAGATCGCCGCTCCTGGGCAGCGATGATTCGAGATGTTCATGAAGCCGGCTCATCCTCCCGTAGGAGATAGCCGAAGTAAAGTAGAGTAACTAGGTGGTTACGACATGCGTTACGCACACCACCGAGCCATCGCCTTCCTCGACAATAGGCAATGTTAGCTGACATAGGGTCAGGTTGGAAAACAGCCAGTGGTGGTCAAACCAAAACATGGCTTCATCAGTCAATGAAATCAACAACAGTTAGTTTAAGCCAGCCAACGTAGGAAGGTGTAGACTTCCTGATTGGGGTCCTCGGGACGGTAAACACTAATGGCTGGAGACAATCGGTGATATGGCTCAAACTCATCGCTCTCAATGGCGCAGATGCATCCACTCCTTGTAACTTATAATATCGAATAAAACTATATTGTTCTTCGTTATTACTATTCTTTTTGTCTCATATCTCTGTTTACTGTCTCTATTTTGCGTTTCTTTTTACTTTCTTCTCTTGCTTTGTGTGCTACATGGAGTGTGGCGACTTGAACTGCCGCACATCGGTACAAAGTTCTACGTTGAAACCAGTCAGTCAAATAGGGTAGAATGTGAACAAGTACAGGTGTTATCATACGGAAGAGTATTTAAGTCAATATGTATGTAGCCAGTTATCATCTCCAAAAAAATCAATGTATGCCACTGAATCAGAGTAATTTTCAGAATAGTAATCGGTAAAAATGTGATAATATAATCCAACCACAAGGCGTCACATGTCTCATCATGTGTGACAACAGTGAAACTACAAAGTGAAAAACAACATAAAAACAAAATTTATTGAATTATTTTGATTAGTAGCATTAGAATGAATGAACACAAGTTGAGTAATATTCAGATTATCAATAATAAAAACAACAAAAAAAGGCCTGACTAACTAACTAGACTAGACCAACTCACCTCTTTAGCAAGCATACGTAACTTCACAAAATTGATTAACCCATCCGGTGTACGTGATGGATTACCCAAGTGGATGAATGTTAAATCTTTTAGCACTAATGGTAGATAGGGTAACATTGGTGCAGAAACATTATTACTTGATATCAGTGTACGATAATGATGAAAATTTCTTGATGTATCCAACACCATCTGAAATAAGGGAAGAAAAAAAGAAAGTATAATAGAAACTATGCGTTTCCATTCTGTTCTGTTCTGTTTTCGAAATAGAACTTTGCACATATGTGCGGCAGTTCAAGTCACCACACTTCACTCAGCACACACAGCAAGAGAAGAAAGTAGGAGAAATGCATATTACAGACAGTAAACAGAGGTGTGAGACAAAGGAATAGTAATAACGAAGAACAAAACAGTTTCATTGGAAATCATGAGTCACAAGGAGTGGATGCATCTGCGCCAGCCATTGAGAACGATGAGTTTGAGCTATATCACCAATTGTTTCCAACTATTGGTTTTTACTGTCCCGAGGACCCCAACCAGGAAGTCTACATCTCCCTACGTGACTTAGACTAACTGTTGTGGATTTCATTGACTGGTGCCATGTTTTCGTTTGACCGCCGCTAGCTAGTTCTTTTACAGCCTGACCCTATATCGATTTCTTGTGTTAGGTGATAATAATGAACTTTTAGGCATAGTGTTAGACAAGAAGGATAAGTTAATCGATGGGGTTGTGAAGTTGTGTCGATTAAGATAGCTATGACGCGTGTGTTACGCATGCCAAGCCACCAAGTTCTCTGTCCAACAATGTCAGCTAAGATAGGATTGAGTCGAGAAACAGTTAACCGTGGTCAAATGGAAACAAAATATTAATTCATCAAGTCTTTGACTGTTTTTGGAGCTACTCCCGTAGGGAAGTGTAGATTGCCAAGACTGTGGTTCCCACAAGACCCTCCTAAGAACCAATAGATTAAAACTGATGATGACATAGATTAGAGTGGTTTTCAATGGAGCCAGATGCATTCAATCTTTGTAATCTTACATATTCATTAAATTCTTTTCAAAAATTTCTGTTTATTATTAATTTCATTGAACTTGTTTTTCAAGTGTTGGCTTGCAGGGATTTCGTTGGTAACGGGACTTCGTCATGAACTGACATCAGTTAGAGAATAATTGGGACACCACCAGGAAGTAGTGGATAGCTGTTTCCCCAGACCAGGTTGGGGCTGTTCAGCAGTAGGCACCAACACTGCGAGGTTCGAAACCAAAGCCTTCCGGTTACAAGGTGAGCCAACCCATACACCATTCAGCCACTGAGATGCTAATCCATTGGTCTGTGAATTCCAACTTCTGCCAATTCACGATATAGCGCGACAACCAGTCAATGTCAGCCGTGGTGAGTATTTGTTCTCACACCAGACCTGCTGTATCCCACAGGTCACGACTTCCCATGTGTTTGAGCTAATTCGCCTTGTAACCAGAAGGTCCTGGTTTGGAAACCCACAATGTGGGTGCGTGCTGTGAGGGACCCCAAACTAGGCTGACGAAACATCTGTCCAATGCTCTCAGCTGGTTTTCCAATGGTTCTCTAACCGATGTCAGCTCATGGTGATATCCTGGAACTTCATTTTCCTTTCACTGAATTTATATGTGCATTATATGAAGAAGTGTTGTGACAAGTTAAACTGCTGTACTTTTTTATGCAAAGTTCTAATTTGCAAATTCAGTTCAATTTTGATTGACAGTTTATTTTTCCTGTTTACTGTGAAATAAATTTAGGTCAAAGGAGAAAATGCACAATTTTTACTGTTTCCTTTAATAGAAATAAAAGTTATTCAGAACACAGTGCATGTGATATTATAAATGGCGATCAATAAAGCAAGCTATATACTACTAGTTGATCAGTATTAGTAGTTGGATACCACTAATTGATTATTAGGGAAGATAATCGAGCAAAGAATATCCCCTTTTCGATAAATTCCTCTTCCGGCTCTACAATTATATATTTGTTTATATACATAGAATATTCTAGATTAGTAGTTATTAACAAGAACAAAAACAACAACAAGGATTCATCTCACAGAGTCAGTACACGTCACTTAAACCCACTGGAACGTTCACATCAAGACTATATAGCTCGCCTAAAGTGCACAAAAATGGTGTACCGCTTCAACCAGTATTAGATATATTAAATTCACTATACCAACCATCCCGTAGCCAAATGGTTAGTCGAACTCTTACAGCCTCTACATACCGAGTTGGTGAAACACAGTGTAAAGGATACTTTTGGATTTGTTGAAAGGATAAGAGATTTAAATGTTGACAATAAATTCATGATAACATTTGACGTATCTTCCTTATTTACCAATGTACTACTTATGGAAACAGTGGACTTTGTATGCGAAGAACTCATAAGACGAAACATGGATGTCGGCATTCCTATTCCTTTTATGAAAGAGCTTCTCTTGAAATGCACAATGAATGTTCACTTTTTATTTAATAAGGAACTATGTAGACAAATCGACGGTGTGGCAATGGGGTCACCACTAGGACCTATTCTAGCCATCATTTTCCTTGCGAAACTAAAAAGTGGACCTTTGAAGGATGTAATTAATGAACTCGAATTTTATTGTCGGTACATGGATGTTACTTTTTTGATTATGAAGAACGAGAAGGAAGCAAAGAACATCCTGGATAAATTTAATGAGGTACATCCTACAATAAATTTTACTATTGAGAAATAAAAAAAACTTTAGTATTTTATATTTAGACGTCCTTATGACCAGAAAAAAGGACGGCACAATAAGAAGTGTTTATAGAAACTGCGAATACAAATGCAGTAAAAAGAGCATTCCCTGCTGCTGAATTACGCTGTATTTTTAAAACCACTCTTCTTCTGCGTTCGGGAGTAAAAGACAAATTGCCTAATCTCGCCTCTTCCATGTGTATCAACCAATTTAACTGTTCCTGTGGAGCCAGTTAGTTGCGTAGGCCGTACAATTAGGAGTGTTTCTCGTCGAATTTCTGAACATCACCCTGCCTGGTTACGCAAAGGACAAACAAAATCTATTTGCAGCGCTATTCTGTCTCATCTTGTGGATATAGAACACAAGATTGACGTTAACCATGCTTTCATGGTCAATTACCGCATACCTACGAATCTAAATTTTGCCTTAAGAGTTCGACTACTAAATATTGCTGAGGCTGTGGGGATCCATATTAACTAGCCTAATTTATGCATCCAAAAGAAGTTAGTTCAGACATTATCATTACCTTGGCCATCTAGGTTTGAATGATCCTCAACTTTTTGTAGAAATTTACTTAATTTTAATTGATATTCTATTTGCTATTATATCTTTATTATTATTATTATAATAATTTAAGCATCTTTAATGAACTGTGATTGCATTGTGATCTTACTTTACAAATCGATATTATTTAAAAAAAACACTAATATTGTTATTAACTACTAATTTAAAATATTCTGTGTATATAAACATGCATATATAATTGTAGAGCCGGAAGAGGAATTTATCGAAAAGAATATTCTTTGCACGATTATTTTGTGTTTTATAGATGTCTGAATGAATATTTTTGATATATCAAGGAGGATAATATACGTATTGAATGATCACTAGAGAGAGTTATGCATCTACACTATTGATAAGTTCTAAAGCTTTGGAGGAAACAACGGTTTCTATATACAATCACCGCAAAATTATTGTTATTGTTTCCTTTAGTTCCTAGAAGAACATAGGGCTTCTTCAGCCGCACATCTTCATTGCGTTCGGTTCTCTGCGAACGTTTTCATCATCTGCCTCCACGTCTGCCCACATGCTTTCATCTCCTCTTCATATTGTGGTGAGAGCTGGCTGCTAGCCAAAGTTAGTAGACAGTAATCGATGTCAATGTTTATGTCCCCAATATTGGTGGTGAGAAAATGAGAACAAAGGCTTTGCGTAGGCGGATACAGTTAGCATATGGATGATCTGACACAGCCACAAAGAGATGCAAGGTTAACTTTCTGTGAGAAACAACCAATCAAAAGACTGTATTTTCTACTAACAATAATCTACAATAATGTACATTAAAATCTATAAATATGTGTTGATTTTCATTAATAAACGATCTGTTGCCTGACCCTTGTCTTCTGTTGTTACAATATGACCTCCTCCACTCCATGTCACTCTCACACTGACGACCAACTCGCCGCTTCCCGTTCGGGTTCCCCTCTGTGTTTTGATATCAATCAATTTGATGGGATCGCTCATGATGGGTGGGATAGATGAATCAACATAAGTCAAATGCTCAGCAGAAAGGGACAGGGTGTTGGTCCCTGTCTGCTTCGGTCTCGGCTTCCGAGCAGTATCCTAGCCCTCACACAAACCAAGAGGTTTTTATGAGGCGCATCTATCTCTTGGCTCCCATAATGTACCAAATTTGGCATTTTAATAACAATGATTTTGACACGAATAGAGATATGAGAAAAGAATTCAAACACTATAGTAAAGTACAATTCCATCATCGACTACGTCAACTCCTAGCTTAGTGATAGGGAGTGAAGTGATAGAACATGTTGACCACTTCACCTATTTGGGAAGTTGTATCAGCACCAACGGACTGATTGGTGACGAAATCACAGCACGGATCCAGAAAGCTCGAGCTGCTTTCGCTAACTTACACCGTCTCTGGCGTAGGCGTGACATCCGGCTATCAACCAATGGACGTGTGCACTGCTCAGCAGTTCGCCCCGTCCTTCTCTATGGCGGTGAGACGTGGCCATTGAGAGCGGAAGACATGAAGAGATTGTCTGTTTTTGACCACAGGTGTTTACGATCTCTTTCTCGCGTTAGGTGGTATAATAAGGTAAGTAATGTTGACGTTAGGCGTAGACTGTTGGGCAAAGAGGGAAAATCAATCGAAGAGGCTATGAAGTTACATAGATTGAGATGGTTAGGTCACGTGCTGCGCATGCCTAACCATCGCCTCCCCTGACGGATGGGCATTACTAGCTGATATAGGTGATGGAGGTTGGAAAAGAGTAAGTGGTGGCCAAACAAAAACATCGCATCAATCAATCCATGAAATCCTTGACAGTTAAACTGAGTCAGGTAGGGAGGGAGATGCGGACTTCCGGGTTGGGGCCCGCCCTCGAGACTCTAAGAATCAATGAAGGGTGGAGACCATAAGTGACA